AATCACTTAAAGTTATTCCTCATCTTCCATTGGTTCTCTTGATGCCGGTGTAGGCACTTCCACATTTACACTGGAGAATAATAATTGCAACCACAACAATAATAGTCTGTGTTTACATAGCACTTCAAAGTTTGCAAATTGCTTTGCATACATTAATCTCATTTAATCCTCACATTAGCTCTAGATTATGCTGTTATTTGACACATTTTTCAGAGGAGGAAAATGTGAGGATGAGAAGGTTTAAAGGATTTAGGGTCACACAGCTAGTAAAGTATCTGAGGTAGGATTCAAACTGGAGTCTTCCTGAATCCAAGTCTAGTACTCTACCTTATGCCAAGTAGCTGAGTTTTAAGGGGTTTTTACTTTCAATAATTACATTCTTTACATGCAGTTTACCTTCTAATTCAAGAAGGGTAAAGGTCCTTTGCTCCTCATCATTTGCATAGGAGCAGCTGGAGGTACTTGAAGCTCAAAGGTAGGCTAGGAGAGAGGTGGGCAGGACGTAGTGGCACAGCAGCTGACTCTTGGATCTGCAGGTGGCCTGATTACAAGAGGGCTCCCTTCAAAGACAATGGGAGAGGGGTGGAGGAGAGGAAGGAGGTATGCTTTAGCCCAGAGCATCTGCCCTGCTTCATGGGCAAAGAGGAAGAGATGCGCCATCAGCAGAACACTCCCTCATTCTTCCTCTCTGTTAAGGAGCCAGTGACCAGGAGGCTGTGTTAAGAGGCCAACCACCTGTCCTTCCTTTCCAAGGACCAGGAAGGATGATCCTGCTATAGGCTCTAGAATATGTGGTATGGGCGGAGGAGGAGGAGACTGGCATTGGAAGGGGATTAGAGGTAAACCTATCCAAGTTTGGGAAAGTGGGAAGTCTCCAGATGTCTGCTCTGCTTTGGGGGGAAAACAGCAAGGTATAGTGGAAAAAATGGACAGAACTATTGGACTTGAGATATGAACAACTAGAACTTAAATATCTCTTGTACTTCCTACTTGTGTGAATGTGGGTAAGTCATTTAACTTCTGAAATGAAGGAATGCCTGTATTTAGCTCACTGGGTTGTTAGGATCAAAAGAGACAATGTGTAAAAGATCTTTTTAGTCAAAGTGTCATGTATATATACGTGTATGTGTGTGTGTGTGTGTGTGTGTGTATATATATATGTATATATATATATATATATATGTATGTATGTATATATATATATATATATATATATATATATATATATATATATATATATATATATATATATATATATATATATATATCTCAGTTACTCAATGTTACAAGTGGTCCGTAAGGTTTTTTGAAGGACGACTGTATAGTACAAGAGTCCCATATTCATTTAGGGAGAATGTCTATGGTAAGCATTAGCCTCTTTTTACCCTTTTGTACCTTGCTCTCAAACAATTGATGATGCTCCCATACACATCACTCCCCTCATTTCTTGACATAAGGATTAACTGAGGAAAGAGAAATAAGTAGGAAAAGTAATTCCACGTCTTTTCCTCCTCTACTTCAAGTATGGGATAAGGATGGAATTAGGGATCTTGGTCCTAATTTTTCGGTTCCTCAAAGATGAAGGATTAAAAGGTGGTGAACAAGAAGGGGATAGATGTTGGGAAACAGGATGCTGAAGGAGAGGAAGGAAAGTTTCAGTACTGAGTGACCAACTGCCTAGATCTCTTGAGGAATAAGGACTGTTTGATGGATCGGATGTTAGGGACCTAGGCACATCAGGTTACTCTAGCTGGCTGTTATGTCATTTCCACAGGTTCATTTCTTCAACAGTTTTTTCTACGACAAACTCCGTACCAAGGGTTATGATGGAGTGAAAAGGTGGACCAAAAATGTGAGTTCGGAATTCTTCTCTCCAACTACCAGTGATATTCTTCACCTTTTTAGAAGGATTAATTATGTTCTCTATTATCCCCTTCTCACATTCTTCTTCCTTAGGATCTTCCTGAAAGGTTCCCTGCCAAAGATTAGATACATTCCATGGTTAGCAGAATAGACCATTGGTCCCAACATCTTTTATTTTAGTTCATCATTGCCTTATATCTTTATAGACTCATCACTACAAAACCTCAAGCAGGTGGAGGGGGGCCCTCAGGGAGATCTAGGCATTCAGCTCATATTCCTTCCTGTAACCCAGATGTCTTAGGTCCCCAAACCCTTGCCTCATCATCAAATACCCATGGCAGCTTGTACTTCTCCAGCTTTCCTTCTGAGGCTCAGGCATCTACTTCCCCAGATTCTTATCTCACATCGATTGCCCTTTCCTAGGTGGATATCTTCAATAAGGAACTCCTGCTGATACCTATCCACCTGGAAGTACACTGGTCACTCATTTCTGTGGATGTGAGGCAGCGGACCATCACTTATTTTGACTCACAGCGTACCCTCAACCGAAGATGTCCCAAGGTAAGGTGTTGAATTGGTAAGGGAAATTCAATATGACCCTAATTCTGGGCAAGAACTAGGGGGAAGAGACCTTAGGGGACATAGCCTGTGGCTACTGAGAGCAAGAGATTGAAGAATATGGTTGGTAGATAGGAGAACTTAGAGTATATTATGTCTTTTTTTTTTTAAGCTTTCTCACAAGTGACTGTACTGTTAACAAATCTTAGTAACCTTTCTGAGCTTCAGTTTCCACATCTGTAAAATGGGGATAATAATTCCCATGGTTGTTTTGAACATGACAGGAGGTAATGTAGGGTGTTTTAGAACCTTAAAACATTATGTAACTGTTGCTAATATTTTTCCACCAATGCAGCATATTGCTAAGTACCTACAGGCTGAGGCAGTGAAGAAGGATCGCCTAGATTTCCACCAGGGATGGAAGGGTTACTTCAAGATGGTGAGTAAACCAGTATGGTACTTAAGTGTGTGGGAGGGAATCATTAAATATTCAAAAGCTTCCAGGCAAGGTTCATGTGTTTTTTTTCCTCTCTACCAGAATGTGGCCAGACAAAATAATGACAGTGACTGTGGTGCCTTCGTATTGCAGGTGAGCCAGTAGGTAGACCATATTACTATCCTCTCCCCTGGATTCTGTCATTTCAAACACTGGGAGTGGCAGTAGGCCTTTTCTGAGTACCCCACCACCTTGTAAAGACCAGAAGGGCTCTATTCCATTCAGCCTTTTTCTCTGTGGCCTTCTACCCTTCCATTTTGGGACTTGGAATATTGACTACATCTGATCCCCATATTCTTGAACTCAGAAGAGATCTTTAATTGACTCCAACCACAATTATTTCCTGTTACAAATTTTCTCCGTTTTTCCCTCATTGCCCTGACTGTCCCTTTTTTACTTCATACCCAGTATTGCAAGTACCTGGCCCTGTCTCAGCCCTTCAGCTTCACACAGCAGGACATGCCCAAACTTCGTCGGCAGATCTACAAAGAGCTGTGTCACTGCAAACTCACTATGTGAGCCTTGGACCCCAGGCCCCCAACTCTATGTGAAGGCTGGAGAACATCTGTCCCCTGTCTGACCTGCAAAAACCTATTCCTTTTTCTCCCTGGACCTTGTGACTTCCTCATATACCTGTTTGTTTTTCATATTTAAATGTTTCCCTTGGTTTCTGTTTTTTTTTTCTTTTAAAGAATCCCTATTGATTTATGGGGGGTAGGATTGGCACTGGGAACCCCTTTTCCTTCCTCTGTCCTGAAGGGAGTGTGAGAGGGAATGAAGAGCCCTTCCCCTTCCATTTTCATGGAACTTGGTGGGTTTGTTTTTGTTTTTGTTTTGGTGGGGGAGGGCAGGGTGGTGGGTTAAGGGATTCCTGTATGCCATACCATCAGACTTTGCTTGTTTATATACATATATATGTGTGTATGTGTGTGTGTGTGTGTATGTATATGGGTGTGGGTGTGTATGTGTATGTATGTATATATGTATGTATGTATATAAACAGTCAGTGATCCTACTCTGGTCAATAAAGGATCCTTTGGAGATTGTGTGTGGTGGATGTCTTGCTAGATGCAGATTGAATGACCAAATGAGCATTCTGTCTTATTCCTTCCCGTAATGGGGTATAAAGGAATATTGTCAGAATGCCCAGGAATTATAGGTAATGTTTCTCTTCCAGGTAACAATGGCTTTCCTTCTACCTAATTCATTAAGGGGAGTTGAGGGCAGATCTCAGAGGCCTGTTTTGTCATATAGCATCTTTCTGACATACACACTTCATCCAAGGCCCAGGACAAAGATGTCAACTTCAAAGGGATTTGGAGAACTAGATGGGGGTGGGTTTAAGGCAGGAGATGTGGAAGTGGAAGAGGGGACAGAACTTTGAATGAAACCAAGGTGGCACTGTTAGTGCTCTTGAGTTTTCAGTCTTTTCTACAGTCTCTTCTAGTTTACTTAGGAGGGTGGGCTCCTTGTATATCCTTTGGCAGCTGCTGTTGCTAATTTTTTACCATCATAATCAGTTACAAATAATTTCAGCTTCTCCAAAGTGAATGGGATGTGTGTGAGTGTGTTTAGGGATGGGATGGAATGGGTGTGAGTTATTTAAAAATTAATTTTTCAAGTTATAAGGAAGTTACTAACTGGTGAAAAGTTATGAGCTGGGCGACAGGTTCTCGGGCCCGTACATTGATACTTTGGTGAAGCATGGGATTTACCAAGGCTTAGTGGTTATCCGGAAGGCCGGAAGTCTCGACAAGTGAAGAGTCAACCTGCTCTCACGTGATGGTGGACGTAGGCACGTGATCGGGACACTTGCCGCCACACGTGGGGGGCAAGATGGCCGCCCGGCCTCGAGGCTCACGTCCTAAACGTCATTTCCGAATGGATGAAAAGAGCGGCATCCCTGGCCAATGAAGGTGTGGGGCGGGTCTCTAGTCTGATGTACGTAGAAGTAGGCCAATGGAAGCTGCACAGCGGGGTGTCCGCGGTCTGGCGTCACGGCGCGTTGCTGGGTGGCGGCAGGCGGGGTCCGGGCCACGGAGCCAATTCGATGGCAGGGGCGGGGTTGGGGGCTCTATAAGTTGTCGAGAGGCGGATCCTCCGCCCTAGTTCCCAGGATCATGTCTGCGAGTCAGGATTCCCGGTAAGTAAAAGGAGGTCTGGTGGCTTTAGGGTTCAATGGTCCTACCCTACACTGCTCGAAAACTTCGTGGGGGCGGAGCCGGCGTCAACCATCTCAGGCCCACTGAGGTGGCGGAGGGAAAAGATTGCCAGACGATACCATTTTGTGGATAGGGAGAAGCGTGCGACCCTACCACTGGGGGATCAGCATGGGGCCGGGGAAAGAAAGGCAAAACCTTCGGTCTGAGTGCCGGGGGGAGGAGAGTGGAGCGAGGGGGAATTGCGGCGGTAGACTCTGGTCTGGGAGAGGAGCGGTAGAACCTGGGTGAGGAGTGAGGAAAAATTTGTGTGGAGGAGCTGGCCTGATAAAGCCCGTGTGGGGTGCGATTCAGATTGCTAGTCTGGGCGGAGTATTCCGAGCGGGTCATTTCTGGGCTCTGGGGAATTCGGGTGAAACCATTTTGTTTGTAGGGAGGGGGGGTTAGGTCTGCTGGGCTACATAAACTCTGGAGGACATTCCACCTCTGATCCGATCATTTTTCCGAATTCCAGGATCAGTACTAAAAATCGGGAGGGGCGGTTTGTAGAAAGAGTTTGCCTGGTGTCCAATAGCCGGTGGGCGGATCCCTCTCTTCTCTTGAGAAGGGTAATGGTGAACTGCATAGGAACTGTTCCACTTTTCTGCGGGGGAGCAGATTGGGGTGTGGGCAAGGCGACACCATTTTTCGAAAAGGGGTCCTGGGATGTGGCCCGTTCCACCCAGTGTTACGGGCGGGGGGAAGTGGCTGCTGGGTGGTATGGATCCGAGGACTTTGCTTATGGAATAAAGGGATGCGCATGTGTTGCTTTTAAATTTTTGATCCATTCTGTGCTTTCCCCCTCCCATTTCTTAGGGTTGTGCAATTCTCCCCTCCCCCTTACCCAGCTTAGCTTCATTGTGCGCGAGGCCGCTGCTGCTCGAGGCCTCCCACATCCGGGCACACAAGTCGAGGTGGAGGGGAGGAGGGGTCTGGGAGAATTCGAGTTGGAAGGGGAGGGTAGAGACTAGGAGGGAAGAATGTGGGCGTCATGACGTGGGAAGACAGGGCGGGACTTCCCACACGTACTCCTGCGAGGGGAGTCAGGCTCCGGGCACGTGGACTAGGCCGTGTGCAGAGGCTGCCCTTCCCAGCCACATCCGGGCGATCTGGGGGCTGTCGGAGGGGGCTCCAGCCCTGCCTAGCCCTTCTTCCCCTGATCCTTAAACACTTCCTCTCCAAATGAAAATGGGATAGGGGTGGGTGGGGCACCATTTTATTAGGACTTGAGAATATTGAGCAGGGATGTGGTTTGCTGGGGGAAGATCTTGAGAACCATATTCTTAATAGGGGAAAATTAGCTGTTGGAATGGATATAGGGAGAGGAATTGCCTTGGGAGGGGCTGGCTGGCCCCTGCCCACCCTGGGGCAGGCTAGGAGTCTTTGGGAGGGAGGGGCTGGGCTGGAAGGCTCCTAGAGGGTGGTGTATAATTCTTTTTTTTCTTCTCCAGATCCAGAGACAATGGCCCTGATGGAATGGACCCTGATGGTGTCATCGAGGTGATATGATCGTTTACCTACCTTGGTTTGTTGTTTTGTCAGTAGTTTAACTCTTTAAGGCATCATCAGATCTATAAACAACTTTGTTTACTATAAGGATTAGTGCAGACTTGGGGGAGGGGTGTTTTTGCTTTTTCCCTTTATGAAATTCCCCAAAACTCATCTTTTGACCAAAGGCTCTTCTCCACTTCCCTCCGCAGTTGGATTTTTAAGGGGTTGAATACTGCCTATCTTAACTGGAACCATCTACTATTTGAGACATAAGGGTCTATACAATGAAAGTTTAACACCTACTTGTAATTTCCTTAGTGTATGGTACTATCGACTGACAAATTTCTTGTTTTTGCGGGGAGGTACACATTTCCTCTTTTAATGCTCTGGCTTTCCCCCAACAGAGTAACTGGAATGAGATTGTGGATAGCTTTGATGATATGAACCTCTCAGAATCTCTTCTTCGTGGTATATATGCCTACGGTTTTGAGAAGCCATCTGCTATTCAGCAACGTGCAATTCTTCCTTGTATCAAGGGTAAGAATAGTTTGATGCCCTAGTATATCTGTTGTAAATGTTGCTGATTTAGTGCTTTGATTACATTCTCCTTTCCTAAAACAAGTTAGGCAACTTGTTTTTAAACTTTACTATTTTTGCAAGAACTTGAGTTAATCCTTTCGTTGTAACCCCCAGTTACATCCATTTCTGTATCCTGTTCTTCCAGGTTATGATGTGATTGCTCAAGCCCAGTCTGGGACCGGGAAGACTGCTACCTTTGCCATTTCCATTTTGCAACAGATTGAACTGGACTTAAAGGCCACACAGGCCTTGGTTTTGGCACCCACCAGAGAGCTAGCTCAACAGGTAAGACTTTTCTCTAAGACTAGTTCTATTCTGCCATAGGAAAAAATTGAAACATATGGAAGTAAGTAAAAAAGTTAAAAGATATAGAAGTTAAAGATGGTGGTTAGGTATCCTGGTTACCTCGGGTGTGCTTCCTCCTCACAATGCAAACTGTCCCCCATAATTAAAGGCCCCTTTTTCCTGCCTTATACCCAGCAACTAACGCCTCCAATTGCCTGACTCAGAAGAAAGTTAGCATTCTGGGTGGAGCATGGTAGTCTAGCTGGGCAGGTTTAATGGCCGTTTCATGACTGGCCATAGGCTTCTCCCATCACACCCCTGACACTGGGTAGAGAGACACCTCTTTGGTGGTGTTCTTCTCATATCAGTCAGGGGCATAGCAGCAGTCCAAGTTCATCCCAGCTTGATGCTTTGTTTGGTGGCCATAGCTGGTTCATGCCCTGGGCACATAACTATCCATTGGTCTTAAGAGGGAAAGAGTATTGGTTACTGTTTCATTATTTTTCTTAGAAACTTCATTCAGAACCAGTGAGAGAACTTCAAAAGTTATGTTGGGGGGGGGTGATAGATCTAAAAGTATTTGAACCCAGTTCCTTAGGGGAGTAGAATGCAAGGATGTCATGGGCTGTAATTTTTTTTTTCTTGGACCCAGATCCAAAAGGTAGTGATGGCACTGGGAGACTATATGGGTGCCTCCTGCCATGCCTGCATTGGAGGAACAAATGTTAGGGCTGAGGTTCAGAAGTTGCAGATGGAAGCTCCCCACATCATTGTTGGCACCCCAGGCCGTGTCTTTGACATGCTTAACCGGAGATACTTGTGTGAGTATTCTCTTTCATTTATGCCACTTGAAAGTATCATAGTCTAAGGAGTCTTTGCTGTTTGCTCTGTGATGATCCCCCATGCGTGTCAGCTGAGCCCAGCTTCCGCTGTTTTCCCGGGTCTAAGTGGGTGTCTTACCTTCTAGTCTCTGGGCTGGCAGAGGTCTCTGAGCACATGATCTTTCTTTAACCCTGAGAGCAGCCTGTATCAGTTCTTATAGATAGAGGTATATGGAAGAGGAAGATAGTTTCTAAAGCTTCCTTTTTCCTTTTTTTTCTTTTTCCTTAATCTTAAATCTCTCTGCAGCTCCTAAATACATCAAGATGTTTGTTCTGGATGAAGCAGATGAAATGTTGAGTCGTGGTTTTAAGGACCAGATCTATGACATATTCCAGAAACTCAGTGGCAATACTCAGGTATGGGGAACAGGCCCAAGTGTCTCAATGCTTTAATCAGTTAAATGATCTTTCACAGGTATAACCTAAAACTCAGAGGTCATGGAATTATTGGCTTAAACCAAGGTACCTTAGGCCATTTAATACCCACCGCCATCCCCCTTGGGGCTCTCCTCCCGTTTCATAAATAAGTAACCTGCCCAGAGAGGGAAAGTAATCTGGTTATCTAGGATCTCAAAGATTGCACCTAGGTCTTCTGACTCTGTGGCCCAACATTTTCTGTCCAGAGCTAAGAATCAAACATAAACACAATTGCTTTGAGTTCTGCTGTTTCAGGAAGGGGGATGTTTCCTTACTTTGCAATGTAATGCTTACTGTTGGAGCTTATATTTGGACATAAATGCGGTGGGGAGAAGAATAGCAGCAAGTTGCGTAGTGAGATAGGGTAGTGAGGATTTTTGGGGTGGGTGTAAGGGAGGATCTTGGTGATTTTAAAGGAGAGGACAAAGAGCTCAGATAAATTTTTTAAATTATATTTTTCTCCCCCCCCAAGGTGGTACTCCTGTCAGCCACCATGCCCTCAGATGTGCTGGAAGTGACCAAGAAGTTTATGAGAGATCCTATCAGGATTCTAGTCAAGAAGGAGGAGTTGACGTTGGAAGGCATTCGTCAGTTTTACATAAATGTGGAACGAGAGGTGGGACCCGGTGGAGAAAGGTGGTGTGTAGCCAGGGGAGGGATGGATTCTGTCAAGATTCTGGAGCACTGGCCCTGACTGGTTTCTTCCCCCAAAGGAGTGGAAGCTAGATACCTTGTGTGATCTGTATGAAACGCTGACTATTACCCAAGCTGTTATCTTCATCAATACCCGCCGAAAGGTGGATTGGCTCACTGAGAAAATGCATGCCCGTGACTTTACTGTCTCTGCAATGGTGAGTTTCTAGGTGTTGCCTTTTAGTATCATTTCCACTGGACTTTGAGAGAGCTGATTTTTTGATGTATGCAGGTTCTGCAATTGTTTCCATTTCTGGGAGTCTGAGGGCTGCCACAGGGGGAAACTGAGTGAGACACTGAAATCAGGACCTGACCAGGGATGCAGAAGGGAGGGGGTATGTGAGATTTTGCTCCCTTCCTTTACAGTTGGTCACCAGCTTGTCCCTTAGGAAGGACAACTGCCTGTCTACCATTCTATTCTGTCCAGTAACAGAGATTAAGAGCTCAGGGGCAAGCTGCTGCTTATGTAGCTAGCTGCATGAGTGGAGTGGAATGAATGGTGGACCAGCAGTCTAAAGAAAACAAACTTGGCTTTTGTGCCCACTGAAAAATCTCACCTTTGTCTCCCCACAGCTTCATTCCTGTCCTGAGCACATGCTTGGTCATTAACCCCTGTGACAGCTCTCAGGACCCCCAAGACTCCCCCACAGATGAAACAATCAGATCCCACTATGTACCTGTCCAATCTACTTTACTAGTCACCTGGTTCTCTATTCCTCCCTGACCTTCTGTTCTCTCCCACAGCATGGAGACATGGACCAAAAAGAACGGGATGTAATCATGAGGGAGTTTCGCTCAGGTTCCAGTCGGGTGCTTATTACCACTGACCTATTGGTGAGCATTTAGGAAAATTTTGACATGGTTCTTACTTAATTCCGAGGGTATTTCTGCCCATTACTCTAGGAATGGAACTCCTAATGGTGAAGGGGGGTAGTGTTGAATGTTTTCTCTATAATCTATCCACAAAAGTTTCATTTTATAAATTAAAAACATCCTTGACCCCAAAGTTACAGTCATAGTAGAGCATTGAGGTCATACCCTTTGACTCATAGTTGATGACAAATTTATCTATAAAATTATGATAGTGATACTACTTTTAACATGATTGTGACCTGGGTGTTTTTTCCTTCTTTAGGCTAGAGGCATTGATGTTCAGCAAGTGTCTTTGGTTATTAATTATGACCTTCCCACCAACCGGGAAAATTATATTCATAGGTAAGCCGTGTGGAGAAACTACCCATCATCTCTGTAACACTTTGAGGGATATAACCAATTCGAGTTACTATTTCTAGATCTCCCCATTTCCTTTTTATTTTTTATTTCCAATTGTGAGGTTTCTTAGACTGCCCTAACTTGTATTATATATTTTCCTACCCCCCAGAATTGGCCGTGGTGGGCGCTTCGGCCGTAAAGGGGTGGCCATCAACATGGTGACAGAGGAAGACAAGAGGATTCTTCGAGACATCGAGACCTTCTATAACACCTCCATTGAGGAGATGCCTCTCAATGTGGCTGACCTCATCTGAGGGGCTTCCCCACCTGATTTAACCCAGGGCCCTGCTCTCTGGGATGGGGGGAAGGGGAGCTGGACGGGAGGGGGGGAACAAGGGATGGACACCTTTGTCATTTTTTCCTTTTTTTTTTTTTTTGACTTTGAATAAATGTCAATTTTTGAGGCAAAAGGAACTGTGAACCTTAGACACCCTTTTCTTTGGGGCAGGTTTATGCCCTTGGCGCCGTCACCTTCCTCCCCCCAACTTTTCTTCCCTTACTTCAAAACACTAATCCAGCCATTAGCTGTTTCAAGCCAGTCTGTCCTGCATTCCCAGCAGCCAAATACCTTCCCCACCCCCCACCAAAAGATAGTTGAGAGGCCATGACTGGCCACTCTACCCCCTCCCTGTTCCTGGACAAAGTTTGGGGGGTCCACCCCCACCATGAGGCTGAAATAACTCACTGGGTTGGCTTCTCCCCCAGGTAAAGGGAGCAGGGGAGAGAAAGTAGTCATTTTTACGTTGTTTTGTATAGTATTTATTGATTCAGGAAAGAAACCACAAAATTCTGAATAAAATTACTTGGAAACTGCCTGTTTGGGCTTATTTTTTTTATCTACCCCTTTCCTCAACCCAGTTTCTGGGTGGTGTTCACTGGTGTCCCCTGAACAGGGTAATTACCTGGGGTTCAGATGTTGTGTCTCCATTAGCATGGTTGGTGCTAGTATACAGGTTAACATCTTTAGAAAACAAAAGACCCTAATGCTTAGCCATTAATCTGGGGATAAAGGCTTTTGTATTTAAATTACCAGAAGGAACAAAGGTGGGAGAGTATATGAAGCAAAAAAAGAAAGGGGGGGTATCCTCCCACTTTGGTACCCCTTTGCTTCTTTATGCCATATTTCTCAGTTCTCACCATTAAGGTCTTCCCTCCAAGCCTAACCCTCCACCGGTTACAAGCTTGGCCTGTATTTCTTTGCTCCTTCAGCCATTAACGCCACCCCCATATATCCCTTCAGCTTCCTCTTGTCCCAGAAGGAACCTCATGACAGCACTAGTTGAGGCAAACTGAAGATTGAGAAATTCTTGACTCAACACTGAGTCTGGTGAGCCTGAGGTGCTTGAGTCAGAATGTGGGTGGAGGGTTAGTTACTAGGAAGTAGGTTTAGTATTTCCCTTAAAAGACAAGACAGTAAAGTGAATCAGTCCCTTTGGGTGCAGAGAAGAGAGAACCCCGGAGGAAGATTCTAATTGGCAATCCTGTCTTACCATGAGACTTTCTCTGCTACTTTCTGGTATCTTGCTTGGGCTGCTGGCAGGTATGGGGGAAGGGTGGCAGGGTTGGGGATGCTAGGGCAGTCCTTACTTTGATTATCTTCCAGGGCTGATCTGCCCTTATTCTTTTCCCTCAAAGACCAGGGGGCAGGGGATAAGTGTCCCCAGAAGAAGTCTGTTACACTGGTACCATCATTCACGGTGACGACCATAGCCACAGAGAGGAGTACCACCCGTCCTGAAACCACCACAAGACATGGGAGGACAGCCACAACCCACAGGACCTCCACAGCTGCCACTACCCCCCACAGTAACAGAACTGCTACCAGTTATCCAAGCACGAGTGAAGGAACAGCCATCACTCATGGAACTACCACAAGCCCCAGAAACACCTCAACCATCAGGCCATCACAATCTGTGCCAGTCCCACCTTCTCCCAAACCCACCTCTGGCCCCAGTGGGACTGTTGGAGACTACACTGGGGCCAATGGTTCCCAGCTCTGTGTTCGCCTCCGGGCTCAGATCCAGATGAGGGTCCTGTACCAGAGCCACGGTGGAGGAAAGGTCAGACCCACTGGGAGGGGACAGCAAGAGTCTGATGAGGTGGGAACTGTGTGGGAGGAACAAAAACTAGGGCAGGGGGGAAGTGGGAAGAAGGGGAAGATAAAGCAGTAAATTGACTCCATTTTGTTTCACTCTTCCTACAGCTTTGGGGCATTTTTGTCCTGAACCCCAATAGAACAGTTGCTCAGGGCAGCTGTGAGGGGAACCATTCCAGCCTAATTCTCTCTTTTCCTGATGGAAAACTCATCTTTGGTTTCAAGCAGGTACAGTTTTAATGGTTAAAAGATAAGCCCCTCCTCTCTGATCTTTTCTCCACTACATACTTAGATTTATTTATAATCAATCCTAACACCACCCTTTCCAGGACTCAGTCAAGAAAACTGTCTACCTGAGCTGCTTGGTAACAGAGTTCAATGTGTCCTTCCCTTCCGCAACCCGTGAGTACTCCCACACACTAACTTTTACTTTACTGAAGGGAAATGGAAGGAGAGGAAGGAAAAAGAAGTGGATTCTTAGGTTCCTGATCTCTCCATACTCCTTAAATCAGGGTGGACATTCTCAGCAGAGAATTCATCACTCCATGATCTCCAAGCACCACTGGGTCATAGCTTCAGTTGTAGAAATAGAAGTATAGAACTCTCCCCAGACGTCCACCTTGACTTGCTATCTCTGCAGCTACAAGCAGCTCAGCTACCCCGGACTGGAGCCTTCGGCCCAGGTAAGATGCCCTGCCCCACCAGCCACCTTATCAATTTAATTCAATTAAGCATTATGGCCTCTTGTAAGGCAGTATCTTTTCCAGGGAAGTCACTCCTTCCCTGCTTCCTCTTTCCCGCTTTCCCAAATGCCCTCCCTCTTCACTGGACTGGAAGCATGTATTTCCTGGTCCCATCCTTGTCTAGGCATCTCTGGTCCTACTTAACACACTAATTTAGGCTTCCCAAGAGAGAAGATGTAGGTTTGAATTCTAAATAGTTGTGTAATGAGCTCTCTGAGCTTCAGTTTCCACATCTGCAAAATGAGGTGTTTGGACTAGATGAGCTCTAAGATCCCCTCCACCTCTAAATCCTAGGAATAATGCCCTTTCCTGCCCCTCCATTCTGAGTTGAAGCACTAGAAGGTTTACCCCACTTTAGGAAGTAAACTCCAAGACCCTTTTCATCAGCTACTTTTCTCCGCCCCCCCCCTCCAACAGCCTATTCCTGGGGTACTTCACTGTTCACATTCCCTCTCCCTTTTCTCTTCCTAGCTTTCTCCTGTTCTGCTGAACTCAACATCCTAGTGCCTCTTGTGGTGGGTCTTATCCTCCTCACTCTACTCATCCTTGTGCTTAGTGCCTTCTGCATCTCTAGAAGACGCCCACCAGCCTACCAGCCTCTCTGAAAGCTTCCGATTCCCTCATTTCCTTCATGCCGGGGATATCTCACCCCAAGGTGACTCCTCTCTTCTTTTTCCATTTTCTCTACCTTGTTAGTTCTAGGATAGATCTGCAATTCCCCTCCACCTTTGGGCGGGGGGAGGAGGAGTTGGGGGGGTTGGGAGGAGACTTCAGAAGACAAAATGAGAGACATTGTGGGCAATGAGAGCCTTTATTGGGTTTGGCAGAGGTACCTTCCTAGAAGCATAGAGATACATGCATTTTCCTTAACTTCTTCTCCACTTCTGCAATGATTAAAGATCACAATTGCTTTGCCTTATGTCTGGTTCTTTGTCTTTGATATACTTTTAATGAGTCTGAGCAGTAGGAAGAGTGTGTGTGTGTGTTCCTTGATGCCTGACACAGTACATCCCCATATCTTCAGTACCTTCCCTCCCTCCTCCTTTGGGGCTGGAGCTGAAGGCCCTCTGAGTCTTCCCCTTGGTACATCCCTCACCTTGGTCCTAGAATATGCCATGTTGAGTTCAGCAGGTAGTAATGACTACGGGTAAGGACCAAGTAACAGTGTATTCTACTTTTCATCAGCTCCATCAGTGGCCTTGAAGCCACCAGAAGGGGCCACCCACTGCAGCACTACATCAAGGATTGCTCGTATTATCTCTTATATTGATGTTGCCATTGCTCCATTACCAAATGGCCATATCAGCAACGGGAGAAGTGGCTACTCTGACCTACTTTGAGAGGCCCCTGGGAACAGTAAGCCTCCAGTCTGGACTGCCTGCTAGGCCAGGCCCAAAGTTCCCCCAGCATCTGTGGCACGATGATACCTTGCACCCATTTCCAGAAGCCTCTAGATCCGGATCACCAAAAAATATCAGCTTTATTCTTAATAACACAAATAATTAGGTACCTAACTGGGGACATGGATAGAGCCCACAACTCCCAAATAGGTGTGGTAAGGTGTGTGGTAATACACAAGGGCAAGGAAAGTAACTTAGGCGAGGAAGGTCCAGCAACCCCACCACTGCCTCCCACACATCACAGATGACCTTATAGGCCATCGAATGGAAGACACACAAAGAGCTGCTATAGGACCTTGTATTTGTAACAGCCCCCACCCCCCACCCTGAGAGGGTCATGAGGTAGAAGCTGTACTTCCACAAGATGGCTCAGCACATGCTGGCAGTTTGGGTGGCCTCTCCCAGGTGGAACTAACTGTTCGAACTCCCTACCTTAGTACCCTGCCCCAGAAACCCCAGGAAGGAGCCTTGGACCATAGGGGCTTGGGGTGTCAGAAAGAACTTTGAAGGGAGTAGAGGAGAGTTTGACAAGGCATGGTCATGACCCCCCACCCCAACAATTCTTTTTGTCGTTATGACCCCAGAGCTTAGAGAAGTGGCTTCCTAAATGCTCATCGAATTAATGGATGAAGTCATTGGCAAGCCACTTGCTGGCAGCCATCTTGGATCCTTAGGTCTAATTCCATTACAAACTTCTCTCTCCACTACATCGTGTGGGCGGGGCTAGTGCCTGGACTCTGGGAAAACTACAGGAGGGAGAAATGCAAAGCCTGCCACACCAGAGCCACCTCGTTGGGGGGGGACGGGGCGGGGTGATTCTGGTCTCTAGCCCACCCACCCCCCCACCCCCGCCCCAGGCTCTGGTTTAACAAAAGTGGTAGACTATTTGGGCTTCTCCCTCTCGGCCTCTAACAAGACAAAGAGACGCAAATTGCAAAGGATTCGACAAAATGGCGCCAGGGGGCCCTGGTGATGAGACCCAGCTTATTCACGAAAATAGATCCTCAAATACAGCGACAACGGCACATGCGTAGATCGTTCCGTCCACCGCAGCCCCGCCCCGCCCCGCCCCGCCCCTCCACCGAAACACACCTCGTCAGGCGAAGAGCAACAAAAACGCTGTAAGAGCGCTTTGAGCCTTGAAGGCAAACACTTCCGGGGGTCAGAAGAACGCCAGCGTACGCACGAGCGAGAGAGGGCAAGAGCAAAGTAGTCGGAAGTGTGGAAATGCGCATGCGCCTGCCTGCGAAACTTGATGGCAGGCCAGGCAGGGGAGGGAAGGCACAGGCAGGCGGAAGAGATCGGTTTGTAAGATGGCGGAGGAGGCGGAAGGGCCTTTAAAGCGGCTTCTGGTGCTTTTTCTTCTGCCCGAGAAATGCTACGATCGGCTTTTTATTGACTTGGATTTGCTCGATGGTGAGCCCCTCTCCTGTACCGGACGTGGGGATCTGGGACTGGCCTGGGATGGGGGTGTCAAACCACGAGATCATGGCAGCCACTGCCGTGACCTTTCGGGCGGTAGTAACTAAAGGCGGCCATATAGGTAGGGCGGAAGTGCCTGCAACCCCACGTGGGAAAGGAAGCCGGCTTCCTTTTCTAAGGACCGTCGGGTGGGGTGGCGTGACTAATGAGGTCTCCAGTAAGAGCTACTGCTACCTTTTAATTAAAGTTTCTGGGTTAGTGAGTTGATACCGGAAGTGCTAAGGTTCAGTCTGCACAACGAAGGGCCATAATAATGACGGTAGCTGATATTTTAGCATGCCTCCCATCCATTAGTTTATTTGTTTTCCACATATAGCAGAGAAGTGTTGTTATTGGTGCAGGTTGGATTGTTTCCATTTAATCGATGAAGGCAGTAAGGTTCTCGAGGTCTAGTGTGGCCCAAAGCCACATAGAACGAGTTAAGATTTGACCCTAGGTCTCCATGAGAGAGAGAGAGAGAAAGAGGGAGTTGAGAGTGTGTGTGTGCACACACATTTTATGTCCAAGGTGGAATTTGAACCTAAGTCTTCCTGACTCCCAAGTCCAGAGCTCTGACATTAAAGCAGGCCGCCTTCTACACTGTTGTTACATATTTATAAAGTAACTCCGTTTAAAAGAACTTAAATCTGGGAGATAAGCTACCCTCCTCACCTATTTTATAGGTAAGGAAATGAGCTAATAGAGGGCAAGGATCACATAAGTTGTAAAGTATCGGACTTCTTTGGAGTCCTCGGACTCCAAATCTATTTGCTCAACAGGTGACGTAGATGGTATTAGTACTGCTTCCCAGGAGAAACCAAAGCAAACTGAGTAAAGGGTGAATTAGTAACAGCAGTGCTGCTAGAATTCAGGTCTCTGGCACAGGGTATTTCCACCATACTATATATAACCTTTACTGAGTGGCTGGTGTGTGCAATGCAGTGTGCCACACCCGGGGTAACTAAGGAGATCTCGGGGAATTCACAGTATGTGTGAAACTATATTAGGATCATTTAGAACTGGAAGGAATCTTACAGGTCAGTTAGCCTAACCCTCTTTTTTTTATAAATGAAAAATGGACTCCCCAAGAAGTTATAGTGGGATCATAGATCTGAAACTGGAGTGGACTTAAGAGGCTATAAGAATATGTGGAGGACGTCAAGAGATTTAACCGAGCTAAAAAGTATTAAGAGTTGGGATTTGAACCTAAGTTCTCTGACTCAAGCCAGCACTCTTTCCACTGTATTCTGCTGCTCTTCAATATATGCAAAACATGAGCAGGCCCAAGTGATCATGGCCAGTAAAAATGAAACAGTCCCTGCCCTCAAAGATCTTACTGGGTAAGACAGTGTGTGCATATATGAGAATATATATATATGTAATTTAATTTAATTTAATTGAGAGATTAGAAAAGGCTTATGAAGAAGGTAGCGCTTGATCTGAGTTTTGAAGGAAGGTTGGGATTCCAAGACACTGGTGAGGAGGAAGAGCAGTCAATAAACAGTCTGTATAAAGGCACTGAGGCCAGAGATATCAGTTCCTTAAGAGAAACAGTAAGAAGCCTGGTTTGGCTGGGCCACTGAATGTCTGAAGAGGAGTTATGCAAAATCAAGCTGGAAAGGTTAAATGCCAAACAGAGAAATTTCTGTTTGATCCTAGAGGTAATTGGGAGTCATTTGAGTTTATTGAGGAGGGAAGTGATGTGGTCAGAAATTGCTTTGGTAGCTATGTAGAGGATGAATTTGGAAGAGAAGAAACTCAAGGGAGAGGGACCAATTAGAAAACTCTTGTAGTAGTCCAGGAGACAAGTGCTAAGAATTTGAACTGGTTTTAGCTGGCCTTTAGGTTATTTCTACTAGTAGGGGATTCAGTATAGATGACAAGCCATCCAAGTCATCTGAGAAGGAACACTCATACAGGCAGGAGGAGAATCGAGATGGAACAAAGAATAAGATCACTTTGAGCTAGAGTGGTCTGGGACAGCTCGGGCCTGGAAGAATAGGTGGGGGTTGGGGAGGGTGTTCTAAGTGAGGGGTAATAGTGAAAAGAAGAGCTTAGTGGTGGGGAAAAGTCAGCATTGAGATTTGCCCAAAGGTAACAGCATTTCTGTTGGTCAGCAGTAGAGATGAGCTTTGAATGACTTATTGGGAAGGGGAGCATCATTGAAGGTTTCTGGGGAGGTGCATTAGGATAATAGTGGACCACACTGGGTTTTGAGGTTTTCAAAGTACTTTCCTCAAAGCATCCCTGAAGTGAGTTGGGTTGTACAAGTATTATCCTCATCATAGAAGTGAGAAACCTGAACCAGAGAGGAGTGACATAAGATTTAGAGCTCTGAAGAATTTTCGAGATCTTCTAGTCTGATCCCCTCATTTAACAGATGAAGAAACAGACTCAGATAAACAACTTATTTGTCCAAGGTCACAGAGGTAACAATTAGAAGATCCAGGTCTTTTAACTTCAAATCCTGAAGTTTTCCCCAAGTTTTGACAGTGTTGTGAAGGGAGACCTAGGACATTAGCCAGGGTAAGAAAACAGGGCAGGGACAGTAGGGTGTCATTTTTTCCCCTTCAGATGTCCCTAAGACCTCAGAGTCTATGAGACTATCTTCCCAGATGGTTCTCAAGGAAAAGCAGTAGAAAAAGGTAGTGTGCCCAAGGCTGGGCCTAAAAGTAGAAAGGGTATGGGGACACTCTACAATCTTGGCTGTCCCTATGCTTTAATGCCATCCTTTCTTGGCATTGGAAGGCAGGCACAGCCCTCTGCCTTCAGAGGGGGCTGTAGGACAGGAGGCTTGGCCTTATAATTCAACCTTGACTTTATCTTTCCTAATATCTTAACTCTCTTTGCTTCCTCTCACCCCCTACCAGTTCGGTGCCTCAAGATACTAATTAGCAAAGGCCTGGGGCTTGGCATTGTTGCTGGATCATTGCTGGGTGAGTGTCCAGTGGGAATTAGAGGTGTCCCCTTTGGTCACCTCAGGGGTAAGGGCTCCAATTGAACTTGACCCCCCTTTTCCTCAAAAAGCAAACGTAGCTAGGAAGGGAGTGGGGTCTGTATTCACAGGAGATACGGCTTTTTTTGTTATCTGCTTGCCCCCTCACAGTGAAACTACCTCAAGTGTTTAAAATTCTGGGGGTGAAGAGTGCAGAAGGCCTGAGCCTCCAGGCGTTTCTTCTAGAACTGGTGGCCTTGACTGGGACCATCATCTACAGTGTGGCAAACAGCTTCCCATTCAGGTAACCGAGGGGCCCAGGTGGCTTTGGGAGTGAGATAACTACTTCTCTAGGAGTGTGAGGAATTGGACTGCTCTCTACCCATCCCTTGCCTTAAAAACCTAATAAACAGGGGCAGTTGGATGATGCATTGGGTAGTCTACCAGCCCTCCAGTCAGGAGGACCTGAGTTCAAATCCAGCCTCAGACACTTGACACTAGCTATGTGACCCTGGGCAAGTCCCTTAACCCAGATTACCTCACCTAAATAAATAAACAAACAAAAACAGTTCATGAGTGTTGTGTATTCAAAGCTCTGGGAACTGGTGGAAGTTAAAACAGGAATCAGTGGGAAGGATAGCCTTGAGTTTCTGGCTCCCAGTTTCTCACAGATAGATAAATAGATAGATGATTAGATAATAGTGTTAGGCACTTGCTGTGATAGAGGATAACCCTTGGGAGTTGTAGACCTCAGGAAGACCATGGGGCAGTAGAGGAGGATTGGTCCAGCTCTGACCCATGTCTTGGCTCCCCTTCAGCTCTTGGGGTGAGGCCTTGTTCTTAATGCTACAGACCATTACCATCTGCTTCCTGATCCTACACTACAGAGGACATACCATGAGAGGTACCCCCACCCCCAGGGAGAGGTAGGGGAGGCTCTGGGCTGGGTTCCCTACAATCCTCCATGGGTGGGGCATGGAGGACCTTTGGGGCACTGTAATAGAAGAGTTAAGACTTTCTGTGGGAAGAAAGCAGGGGAAGTAGGCAAGTTGGAAGATAGTTGATCATTCCCTGACACCACTCCAGGTGTGGCCTTACTAGGCATCTATGTCCTGATCCTGCTGGTATTGCTCTCACCCCTGATGCCCAAGACTGTGGTCACCCTGCTTCAGGCCACCAACATGCCTGCTGTGATCATGGGGAGGGTGAGTGTGGGTGTGGGGGGTGGGGATGGAGAGGGACAAACAAAATATGAGCTGGGGGAAGATGGGAGATGGAAAAAAGAAGTTGGGCAATGGGTGGATGGGGGGGTAAAGAACACACCAGATGATGGGGAAGGGGCAGGAAATGGATGAGCAATGGATGAGGTCTTTTGATTTTCCCTAGTTACTTCAGGTGATCACCAACTACAGAAACGGTCACACAGGGCATCTGTCAGCAGTCACTGTTTTCTTACTCTTTGCTGGCTCCCTTGCCCGAATCTTCACCTCCATCCAGGTGAGAGTCCTCTCAGAGAACAGCCCCACCTCCTTAGAGGCCCTACTGATTAAATGTCAACTTACTCTTGAAAATGAGATTAATTAGGTCTTCAGAATAGGGACTGAGATTCCACTGCTCTAAAACTTACTACCTGTGCCTTAAATCTCCCTGGCCTCCATTTCCCTATAGGTGAAATGAATGTGTTGGACTAGCTGCTCACCCTCCAACTCTGATATTTTTTGTTTCTATTCTATCCTCAGGAAACAGGTGACCCCCTCATGGCAGTGACTTTTATCGTCTCCTCCATCTGCAATGGTCTCATTGCCTTCCAGCTCCTCTATTACTGGAATGTCAGGATTCCTCACAAATTGGAAAAGAAACATCAGTAGTGTCTTTGATGCTGCTCCCCTTTTCCCAGCCAGAACAGTATCTCAAAGGCCCCAGTTTGGTCTTCATTCCTTTTCCTTTGGTCTTCTTGACCTGGGTTCTACCTACCCCCAAAATTGAAATCCTTTTTTTGGAGCTGTGCTCCCCCTACTCCTTTAGTTGCCCCCTTCCCCCAACTTCCCTGTGCTCCCCTCACTCCCCCATGGCTTGTTCTCTAGTGTGTTGGGGAGCTTCCAAGAGAAGGGAGGGATTGTGACCAGGGGATTGGGAGGAAGGTAACAAATGAAGACATTAATGGTGGCTTTGGACCATGAGGATGTCAGCTGTGGCTAATTAACTAGCTTTGTACCTACATACATTCATCACCAGGATAGGATCGCTGGTTTCTTGGCAGAGCACAGAGGGAACTTTGTTCCTTTTTTCCTTTTGATTCTTAGATATGCTTCTTACCTCTCAGTCCTAGAAGATATCTCCTCTTGCCTGGTCCCCTTCAAATACCCTCCCTCATTAGGGTACTCAGAGGGGTATAGGCCCAGGAGATGAAGGGAGGTGGTACCTGCAGACTAATATAGGCAATGACCAAAGATGTGGAGAGAGACAGCCAACCAGAACCTAAGCTAAAACTGTCTTTTCCAGGGGTGATCCCCTGTTCTGAACCTTTGACCCTTAGGGCCTTCCCCATCCATATAGGACTCCAGGGCTGATGGGGAGTGGTTCAGGGTAACTGTCAGCACAGTCCTCCATCCCCAACTGGGCAAGTCCTAGGTGGAAAAACAGACCTGGGCCCGGCTGATGATCCCCTGGATTGGTGAAGCTGTGGAGGGAATCAAAAAGTGGGACCAGAACTCAAAGTCTGAGTTTAATCTTACAAAACCTACGATATATAAAAATTTGTATCTTCAATACAAAAATAATCCAGCATTCTCCCTTAATCGGGTCCCTCATAATTCAGGTGTCCAGTCACCTGAAGGTGGTATATTTGTGGCTGGGGACACTGCTGTTAAGGCAGGGGGTCTGAGTGAAGGATGAGAGAAGCATCTGTGTATTCCCTTCATGGCCCCTGGACCCTAGGGTATTAGAGGTGGATCAGGGGGTGGGACCCAGGAGAGCAGGATTGTAGGAGGTGGGGCCAGGGGAATAAGGGTTGTAGGGATTCAAGAGCTCCCCTTGGAGTGGAGCTCCAAGAGGAAGGGAACAAAAGGAAAGGGCTTCCGGCTTCCAGTGATGAGCTCTGTGGAAGAAAGAAAAGGGGAAGTGTGAGAAGAACCCAGGACCTGGCCCCCATGCCATCCCTCTTCTTTGGTATTCCTCTCAGACCCAGAGTTTGTCCTCGGTTGTTCCCTCCCCAGGAGAGGGTGTGTTGGGTAGATTTCCTGAGTCACATTCCCCTGCTTTCGAGTTAGACCTGTTCTGGGCAGGCAGGAGGAGGAACAGCAGCTTGTTTCTGGCTTGGCCTGTGAGTAGCACAGATGTCCAGACCCTGCGTGGTATATCAATGGAACAGGGACCTCTGGTGGCTTAGATGCTACCGTTTGGTCTTTTAGTGGCATGTTGGCATCATTTGGCACATATGCTCCCCAGCTGTTTTTCTTTTCCAGGGAGAACAACAAGAGAGGTTTGCAATCTCCCTGCCCTAGGGGATGGGAGAGGGACTTGGGTCAGCTAAAGGACAGGACTCTGAGGAGGGTGGGGTGTGAAGGCAGTGCGGAGAGAAGTTTCTATTTCCTCGCCTCGTTCTGGAGGTAACCCAGGAAGAGGTAGCAGGTAGGGGCAAAAGTCTATGCCTCACAACTACCCAGAGTTGTTACTTCGGATATTACAATGTCAGTTGGCAGAGAGGCAGAGGTGGCTGATCAAGCTGGATTTAATTTTGAATTTGGGGAGAAGCCTTCCCATTGGAAGTGCTGTCTCCGCGCTCTCATATTCATGAAGGCCTCGAATTCTCTCACCCCGTTCCTCTCCCATCTAGACTAGGGTTTAGCAGCTGAAAAGTCTACCCCCCTACTCCACTCCCATCCCAGGTTCTAGGGCAGCCACAGATTTCGTCATTAGCCAGGGAGCCCAAGGTAATGTGAATATAGCCTGGACCTGTTTCCTGGATGTTCTGGATGTCCTACTGCTCCATATTTCTACGGCCCAAACTTGCACCTTAAGAGGGTGCGCTCAATTGTTCCCCCCACCCTCCCTGTTTCAACCCACTCCCATGCTGTGGTCCTTTAGGAGAGTATAGACGGCGGTTGCCCGGGGATAGGAAGTCCTATGTCCTTCCTCTTCCTCTACTCCCACCCGGGGCCATCACTCACCCGCAGTCTTCGGCCAGATAGGAAGATGAGTAGTGGGGCTGGTAGCCAAATCCCCCCGTCCCCCATACTGGCTCGGCGCCGTGGTTGCTGCTGCCGTTGCTTGCCTTGGCCAGCTCCAGACCTTCGTGGCCCAGGTCGGTGTTCTTGGCCTTGCGACGCGGCTGGTACTTGTAGTCGGGATAGTCGCGCAGGTGCCGCGCCCGGAGCCGCTTCGCCTCTTCTACGAAGGGTCGCTTCTCAGCCTCCCCCAGCGATTTCCACTGCGCGCCCAAGCGCTTGGAGATTTCTGAGTTGTGCATCTTGGGGTGAAGCTGCGCCATCTGGCGACGCTGGCCCGAGCTCCACACCATGAATGCATTCATGGGCCGCTTCACCTTCGTGGGAATCTCCCCGGGAATCCCTGGACTCTCGGAGTCCAAGGGACGGGAAGTGGAAGATGCGAAAGCGGTGGGAGCAGGGAATGTCAAGGCCCAAGCCTGAAGTGGAGGAGCCCGGGGCAGCGCCATGGAGATGATTAGCCTGGGAGAGGAGAGGGGAGATAGGGAAGAGGCTCAGGAAAGTGGTTATCGGGCTCCCTGTCTGATCCGGTGTCTTGAAACGTCAGGTTATCCCAAATCTGGTATCCCTCAATGGAAGGTTCCTTCAGAATCCTTCCGTCTTCACAGAGGTAACCCACTCACACACCCCTCCCCACACTAAAGTAGAATAAGAATCGGTGCTACCTTGTTCCCAAATCCGTTTTCCTTAATATGGTGGTGTATGGCCACTCAGCAATCTAAAATATCGCAAAGCCAGGCGGCCAGTGCTTAGCACCAGCAGCAGGTAGCTGGGTTCTCCCTCCACAGCTTTCCTTCGGGATCTTCCCCAATCCAGGGTCTCCACCCCTCCCAATCTTCCAAGAAGTACTTTCAAAAGGTATGAAGATACGCTTCTCAGGTCCTGGAGCGACTGGCTTCCTGGAGTCAGTACTGCTCTGGGTTTCTGCGTGTTTCCGAGGATACCTTACTCCAATCACCCTCGGGGGCACGTGGGGGGGGGTTGGGGGAGTGTGGCGGCAGCAGTAGTAGGCCGGCCAGACCCGGGAAAGGCTTTTAAAGTGACCCCGCCCTCCTCAAGGGCCTCCTCCATCTCCCTTTCCCCCGCCCCCCAACGCACTCAGGTGTACTGTTTTCCCGGCCCCCACTTTTTTCTCCACTCCCAAACCCCAGGCCCATTCCAGGAGACTCGCCTCCCAGCGCCCCCTGGAATTTATTCCCCTCCCTTAAATAATTTTAGGTCTAGAACTCCCTTAAGGGCAGAAATGAGAGTAAATCCAAGAAAGGGGTAAAACAGCTTTCTCCCTCTCTTGGCCCCTTTCAGATGGGTTCTCCGAGCAAGACTGTCTCTGGGGAAGATTTGGAGAATGTAAGTTTAAGGTAAATTCTCTTCCAGAGTCACCCCAGCAGGTGTTCAGGCTGTGTGACTCTGACATTCTCTGGTGCTGAGAATTATCCTAACCCTACAGGAGCCATTTCTGTCCTCAGGGGAGCTGGGGAGAGGAAGGTTGGCCAAGCAAGCAGCAGAGCCATTGTTGGTAAAGATTGGGGGGGGGTTGGAGGGAGTTGAGGGTTCCAGAGAGAAAATATGATCAGGTGCCCCATCTTCTCATGGCCCAGCCCTGGCCCTAGGGGACCCCAAGATAAACTGAACTGATTAAGCTAGCTGCCTCACCTTGGCTCCAGATCTCAACCCCTAGGGAGGGGCATCCCTGAGTCACAGCAGGAGGCAGGGTAGGTATAGGAGTGGCCCAACTCACCCAGCAGCAAGTTGGGTGGGGACCTTGGTAAGAAGAGTAAGATGCTTACTTGTTGGGGGGAGGGGTAGAAAGAATAAAGAAGGGCATCATTTCTAGACTTAAGGGGCTCTAGAGGAAGTTGTAGAAGTGGTAACAAGGCTGAGCTAGGTGCAGGAACTGTTTAAGTCCACGGGATACAACAACTGACAAGGGGGAATGACTAAGGGAGCACTGTCTCTCAGATTTAATGTGCATGTGAGAAACAAGACTGGGAGGGAAAGAAGGGAGCCGTTTGGATTTTTTTATTCTCTTTTTAAATACTGTACAGTGAAAAATAAATACACCTTCTCATTAGCCAGACAAAGTCTGTCCCCCCTACCTCCCACCCCCAGAGACCCTTAATAGGTCCCTACCCCTGCTTCAAACCCCCCTCCCCATGCCTCCCACCCAATGACACCACCCCCATCTTCCACAGTGATGAGGCCCAGAAAGGGGGGGACAGGATGAGAGGAAGGGGTGCCAAGGGAACCCCCCCAAACCACCAAATTTGGGTGGGTACAGGAGGACCCTCCCCACAAACAGGCTGGGGAGAGAATTAGGGGCCAGGGAGAGATTGGGGCATTAGAGGATAAAAGGCACATCCAGTCTGATGGAGGGGGAGGCTCCCCTCACCATGGGGTGGGGTAGACAGAGGAAGAAGAGGAGAGGGTGACCCTGTAACAAGCACCCCACCCCACCCCACCCCAAGCCCCTAGGGGGTGGGGAAGAACCCACAGTGTGGCCACTGTTCCCTCCCCCCTTAGACAAGAGCAGCTCCAATGCGGGTCAGGAAGGGCTTGTTGGGTAGCAAGCAAGATGGGAGGGAGGGGGGACAGGAAGGGGTGGAGGGACTTTTATGAGACCCCATTCACCAAGCTGCCCAGTTCCAAGGAGGCAGAGAGCTCCCCATTTTCTGAGGGGCCCTTAGGAAGCTTGCTGACACCCTAGAGAAGAGAGGAGGAAGAGAAAAGGAAGGTGATAAGAGGGGACCCTCTACTTCCTTTTACTGTACCAACTCCCAAAAAGGCCAAGCCTTGTGAACTAGTGAGCCTTACTACCCAAAGGCCCTCCCACCCCTGTTCTACCAGGAGAAAACTGGGGCTTCTCTTCCCCAATTCAACAAATCAACAATCAACGTTTGGGGTGCAATGAGGGATTCCAGGGACAGAAAGAAGGAGAAGGCAACAATACATCTACCTTTGGTCCTGAGAGGGAATCCTCGGAAGGAACATGAGTGGGCTCAGGGGGCTGCCTCTGTCGGCTCTGAGATTCTGCCCGGGAGATGTAATCTGCCACTGTTACTGTGGGAAGAAGGGATCAGATGTCCACCCTCTAGCCTTCTAATTTTACTCAAACCCTATATCATCACAGCCCCAGAGTCCTACTCTCTCAGGTCTAAGGAAGAACCTTGGCTATTTACCTGGCTGCCGGTCTCTGCTGATGGAGCCATCTGCCCGGTTACCACGGTTACGTCGTCTGCGGCTTCGGTTTCTTCGTTGGGGTTTTGATTCCTCTTCTGTAGGGCAGAGTAGTGATGAGAAAGTAAAGATATTCAGAAAACAGGTACTCGGCCTCCCAAGCCTCATTTTTCTCAGTGACCCAGGGAATCCTGCTCACCCAGACCATTTTCAGCCAAGTTAGGCCCATCAGACTCCAGTCCTCCATCTATGATGGTGCGGTCCTCATCTGTGCGTCTGCGGCGGGAACGTCGGCGCCGGGCACTAGCTGGAGGTGGCTCTCCAGGCTCAGAGTCAACTGGGGGCTCTGGTTCTGATGTGTCCAGTAGGCTATAGGGGTTACTATCAGGATCCTTCAGTACTAGGTAAGGTAAAGAAGATGACTTGGCCTCTGGGCACTCTGCCTTCAGCTCTCCATTCTCAACTCCTACCCATTTCCCTCCAAGCCCCAGATGACTGTTAGGTTGTTCCCTCAGTACCTGAGCTAATGGAAGATGTGCTGTACTTTGTAGGAAGCCGGGGCGTAGGATTGGACCCTCGACCTCGTCCCCCCATTGGTCTCCTACGACCCTCTTCACCCCGGTTAGAGGCATCTTGGTCACTATGTCCAGGCCGGTCAGGCTCTTCTCGTTTTTCAGATTCTGTTTCTGAAGCAGTAGACAGGTCTGAACCAGGCCCTAGACAACAGGAGTCAATTTTGTTCCTCACTTCCAGAAAATATTATTCAACCTCCTACAGCTCCAAGGAAAAGCCATTGCATACAATTTATTCTTCTTCCACAATCCATCACTCCCTCTCATCCTGGCCATACACCACAAGCTCACCATAGCCAGAACTTCCTGTCCTCCGGCCTCGGCCTCGACCCCCATAGGTTCTAGTGGCATGGAGGGAAGAGGAAGAGCTTTCATCCGTAGCATAGCCAGTCTTGTCACCACCACTGCTCCCTCGACCACTTCCAGGTGTACGGAAGCCCAGCCCAATTTGCCGAAGCTGTTCATCAATCTGTAGCCTTTCTAGTCGAAGCTGTTCTACTTCCTGGTTGGGAGCAATGAAAGGAGAAAACTTTAAGACTCCTCTGCAGAAACTGCACACCACCTGAACTCTCTGAATAGCAAAAAATTTAGCAAAAATTAAAACAGAGGAACAAATCAGGCATCCAATCCTGCCCTTTAGCCCTGCTCTCCTCAGAGACAGTCTCCACAGACTCCAGCTTTTCTAAAAGTTCCAATTCTCCTTTGGACACTCAGTACCCATTTTCCTCCCAGGGAGACAGCCCTGGTACCTGCAAGTAAGAGAGGTGATATTCCAATAGGGCCTGAGCATTGCTGATATTCTCCCGGGTGCCAACGAATATGAAAGGAACCATTCCCTGGCAGGGAAGAGATGGGTCAGTAAGGAGAGAAGAAAGGTGAGCAAACCTGTTTCCCTTACCTTCACATAAGCTTACAGACTGGGGACCTATCTTCAGCAAAACCCATCCCTGCCCCCACCACATAAAAGTTCTTGTCCTAAGGAACTTGCTCCTACCCACTTCCCTGGGGAAACCAAAGAAATCCTTTCCCATCATACCTCCTCCCTGGGATTCTTCTTGTCGTTATCACCTTCCACTCGAACCCTCACCACACCAGATTTATCCACAATCTCCTGGATCACTTTTCCATTCTTCCCAATCACTTTGCCTGTGTTGGGGGGGTTTTGCAGGAATTAGTTATTTAAAGGATGAAGAAGATAGGGTATAGTAGACAGTTCTTTATTTTATAAGGGGTTTATTTCATCTGTCCATAACCCAACACAGAAAAGAAGAAAAATGTCCAGATATCCTTGATGTTTAATTTACATCATTCCTATTGCAGTTTTTGCTTGTCCAGTCCTCAGAGGGTGGTAACTCCTCAGTCCAGCATAAGCTCCTTCTCAGAGACCAGTCGTTTACCACCCCCCACACCACCTCTTCTCCCACTGGCCCCCAACTCTCCACTTCCTTTTAATCCCTCCTCTTTCCTGCTTCATCCTGACCACTGGCCCTCTAGACTCACCAACCAGGTTCCGGGGCACTTGGACAGAGTCTTCAGAAAACTCAAGATAGCTTCGGGCCTGCCGGCATGCCTCAGGGGTCTAGGGAAAGAGTGGGAAGATGATTACTGGACACGAGGGCCTGAGCCTCAAAGAAATCTATGTTTTTCTTCCTTCCACCACCCTCTTTTTGAGGAAATGTGCTACCACTGAAATCCAAAAAACAGGAAGAATTCCAGCATATTTTCTATTTCACCCTTCCTCCCCTTAGAAGTCCCAGTACTGACCTCCCCATAGATTCGAAAGGTGCAAGTCTCCTCGCCCAGTTCAATGGCTGTGACCCCAGGCACTTTTCGGGCCTGCTGGATATTGGCACCATGAGTCCCAATTGCTAATCCCATCAGGTCCTCCCTTACTGTAAATTCTTCCTGGAATGCTGCTGCTAGTTGCTTGCTTGTCTGGAAGGAAAAGCCTGGAAGTCATCGAAGACATCTCTAAAGCTCAGACATTACCTGACCTAGGGCTCCTGTCCATGTGTGATTAAGATGACCCGGAACCAGAGAAGAGAGTAAGTTAGAAGGAATGGAACTATAGCTTCTAGTGGCCACCAGCCCTTGGGACACATGATATGGAAACTGGAGGAAGTTAGTCTTCATTTCCCTGCCAAAGCCCAAAGATTCAAGGTAAAGGACACCTAGTAATCAAGTGGTAAAAGTTCTGATACTGATAAGCTGAGTGATTTTGGACAAATCACAATCTCTTTGCTTCAGGTCACACCTATTAAATGACAGCTGCCCTATTTATCTTGGAAGAGAATTCTTATAAAGCTTCTATCACACAGATGTGACAGCCCTTTGAAAAAGCAAAAGCATCATAAAATTCTAATCAAGTATTATCTTACACTTTTCCAAGCAATACAGTCTCTCCCTTACCACAAACTCCAAACAACTGAGAAAGAGAACTAGAGGGGATCTCAAGATAAATAAAACTGGTCCAACTGCTAATCAGGTCCTTGGAAGCAGTCTAAGACAGGCTGCCTAATTCTTGAAGAAAGATAGCAGGGAGTCTGGGGGAGTAAGAAGAAAGAAGGGTTGAAAAGGATTCCCTGAACAGGGAGGTTCCAAAAAGGCTCATTTTCCTAAGGGAAAAGAAAATGTCAGACAAGGACAAGCCTTTCGGCTTAGGTATGCAAGGCATCCAAAACCTTAATAGAGGTCTAGAAGTTCCCTATAGGAATATACCAAGATGTGGAGCTAAAATTGAATCCAGAAATCAAAAGCACTTAAGGAAAGGAGACAGTCTCTACTCCAAACCCTACCTACTCATGATGCTCAAGGAACAAGTCTATGTTAGAACTCAAGAGATTATCTAGAGCAACTTCTGAACTGAGGGAAGGAAACTACTGAAGTTAACAGAGATAGTGGTCATAAAGAGAAGAACTAGGAGAACAGTATATCAAGGAAGCTAAGGGAGAACACTGAAGAGGAATGAGGGTACAGAGTGAAAAGAGAAAAATGAGATTAACGTTTCTTTGAGAAGCAATGCTAGGATGCTAATCTCTTCTAGAAAGTTATACTCCAACCTCATTTTACAAAAGGTATACAGTTAAATGAAAAGAACACCGGAATAAAAATCTGAATATTTTGGACAAGTCACAATTTCTTTGGGCCTGAAATTCCTTTAAAAAAAGAAAAGAAAAAGATAATATCACCAGTCTCAAATACTTTCGTTGTGAGGATAAAATGTGAATGTATATGAAAGCATAAAAACAATAAAAGGCCAAATAAATGTATGGTGTAACTATTACAGAAGAGGCAAAGGAAACCATTGGGACTGCAATCCAGGTCTCCTGATTGATCCCATTTTTAATGACATGAGCTGATGGGATAAATCCGGATTAAATCAAGAGAACCCATGTGACTACTGGTGCAAAGGGAGCTGAGCCAATGAGAATGAGAATTCTTAGAGAGGACAGGTCTCTATAGCATGGGAAAATGGCATCAGAGCTCACCTCTAGATGCTTGGTGGCCTCTTCATTTCGGGACATGAGCAGCAGTTTGGTGCGGAGGCTTCGGAAATGCATATCACCTAGCAGGGATGCCCGTTTCACAGGAGCTTCTGTCGTTGACTAAGTGGAAAGAGAAGTTAACCAGACTACCCTCTCCCACCCCATTCCACACAGGGGTGAGGGCAAGGGTTGGGCATTAGGATACTTGGGTCCTCAAGGAAGGTGGGGGTTTATATGGCTATCTGGGTTCCTAAAAGAAACAAAGGAGGGGGAGGAGGAAATGGGGATATATGAGGAATAACTTCAAGACACAAAAGGGAACCAAATAAATTTTCTAAGACTTGGATCATTAAAGTATAAGCTTTGTGCTTACACAAACAGGGACTGTGTTTGTGTCTATCACTAGCACAGTAGTTGGCACACAGTAAGCATTTAACAAATGCTTAATAAATTGGGTGGGAGGGGGTAGTCTTATTAGGAAAAAGAGGGACAGCTAGGCGATGCAGTGGATAGCGCACTGACCCTGAAGTCAGGAGTATCTGAGTTCAACTCTGGCCTCAGACCAAACACTTGACACTTACTAGCTGTGTGACCCTGGGCAAGTCATTTAACCCCAACTGCCTCACAAAAAAAAAAAAAGAATGAAGGCTACATTTCAAGTTACACTTGAAGATTCAAGAGAAGTTATCGATTACCAGGCCCTGAAAACATATCCTTTGTTCTATGCTATGTTGGACCCCGTTGGTGAGAAGCCTTAGTTCCCAGGAAAAAAATCAGGGTCAACAGCAAGCAGGCAGAGTACTCTGTCCTTTGATTAAAAATATAAGCCCCCTCAGGTCCCTCCCTCTCGGCTAAGGACCAAAGGTACAAAAGGAGAGGAGAACTGAAGTGCATAGGTAAACATGCTCACCAGAATAAAGAGCTCACTGTTAGTGATGTTTAGGAAGATGCAGTTGGCTCCTAAAGCCTTCTTGAACTCTTTATGGACATTCTCATTGGAGCAGCTGGGGAAAAGCGGCAAACTTTCAGATACCAGGATTCAGGGAAAAGTTCAGGGGGACAGAAAGGGAGTAACCAGGAAAATAACTTAGTAATTGATAGGAGAAAATGGACAGGGATATGGATAAAGTAGAGAACGGGGTAGGGACAGGGAGGGGAGGCAGTGAAAAAAGGGTTATGGGAGACAGGAGGTAGGGCGGCCATGGGAAGAGTCAGGGTTGTGGGTAAGGGGTACCCCCTCGGGTCAGCCCTGGCACTCACGCTTCTCTCAGATCCTCAGGAACAGCCATGGTGACCTTGAAAAAACTGCCTTTGGTAGCCAGAGGACTGGGATTGACAGGTCGGAGCCGTTCCAGGGTCACAATTTCATTGTAGGTGGCATCGCAAGCTGCATACTCTATGACATAGAACTGATGGGATGAAATAAGAAAGACAGCAACCTCAGATGCCTGAGATTAAATCCTCAATAATCCTCAGACTCTGCTTCCTAACCTTCTACCCTCAGCTTCTATTTCCAAGACCACCATCCCGTTCCCTAACCCTCCAAGATCACTCACATCTCCCTTCATCATCCGAACCCTTGCCAGCCACCAACCACAAGGTTCCTGCTCATTGGCTCGGGAATAAACCTAGAGGAAATTAGAGAAGAAAGCAGAGGTGGTCTTGGAAACTGACCAATAACTTGAAGACAAAGTAGAGCCCCAATAAACCAAGACTAAAAGAAACCAGAGATGAGTGCTACCAATCAGAATGGGAAGAAGCCATGAAATTTTAGATACTCCTCTATTATCTTAAAAGGATGAGGTTTTTTACTTGAAATGGGGGCTCTCTCTTGAAGTTTGGTATATCAGAGCAGCAAGGAAAGGAGACCAATTGAAACTACAGCATGAAATATACAAGACCTCAGGCATGCAGGAGAGCTTAGGATAGGAAATTAAAAACACCTAGGGAGTAAGGTTCCTTCTTTGCAGATATTTTCAATCAATACAGACATTCTTCTTATTTTTCATCTAAGTAGCAATGGTGAAAAAGAGGGGAACAGTTTGATCCATGATCTTAGCTGAATGGTAACTGACACAAAGAAACAAGTGAAAGGTAATAAATGGGAGGGGGAGAGAGGGCAGGCAGGGGACAGAGGGATGGCAGGGGAGAAGAGAAAGTTATCTGTATCTCTCTGGTAGAACTTGAAGAAATGAGTATTTAAGAGGAAGGAACTCCAGTGCGCTTACCTCCACCTCATCCCCTTCCGTGATCTCCTTGCTATAGTCAGCTGGTGGTGGTAGCCGAACATCCCCAAAGGGGATCTGTCTCTCACTCTGCCAGCTGTAAATGGGACCGTGTGAGAAGAGCCTCAGACTGATGAAGTTCCCCAAATGGGAATGCTCCCATAGCAACTCCCCCTGCTTTCCATTCCTTCAGAATTAGAAGACTATCTCAAATCCTACTCCATAATCCCTGGTTCTTCCAATATTTATGTACCATTATCCCTCCCCCCACCCTAGTTGTAGTCCTTCCTCCTTTCCTGGGACTACATATCTAACATTTGGCTTTCCTCCCCTAAGCAACCCTTTTAGGACCAGTTTTCCCCTGTTAGCTTTCACCCCCTTGAGCTCTCCCTGAAAACTAGATATCCTGGATTTTCTTTTCCCAAGTCTTACTTGTTCTCAAAGAAGATGGTGACTGAGTCTTCATGGACATCCTTCACAAAACCCTACAGTGGGTGGCGGAGTAAGATGAGAAAGAAAATGGAGATTTACCATCAGCTCAGAACTCCAGAAGGGAATAAGGGGCAGGCTGGAAGCAGGAAACCTGAGTTCTGGGGGACAGAAGCAATCTGGGTGAGGTGAGTCAGGAGAAGGGTCAGAGAGAGACACACATCCATATTCTAAGAAAAGTGTGTCTGTTTTTTAAGGGGTGGGGAGTTACATAGTAAATAGCAAACCACTAGAAAAGGGCAGGGACTGGAATAATCTGGGGACCTGAGATTGGTGAACCTCTCGAGTTTGATATTTCAGAGCTGCAGTGGGGCTTTCTTCTGGATCCCAGAGACCCATGCTTTACCCCGCCTCCCCAAATTCTTCATTTTCTGCTCAACAGCCTGCCACTGTCCAATTAAAATACCAAAAAGCATTAACCAAAGCTAAGAATATCCCCAAAGACAAGGAGATGATGTCCTGGAGCACAGAAGAGACAAAGATCTGCCTCCTCTTCACAGCAGAACAGACTTAAGAAAACCTGGCATCCCCCGACTGCCCTAGGGGAGGGCATAGATGCCTTGGTCCTAAGAGGAAACGGGGGGGGGGGGGAGAAGGCAGGACACTATTAGGGGAAGGGGAAGGATTTGAAGAAATGGGAACTTGGGTACTGAAAGAATAAAGACAACAAGAGGAAGGTGACAAAGGTTCTAGTACAAAGACACAGGTTCAAAAAGCTATGTTTCTAATTTAATAAATTACCTCTACCCAGACAGAGTAGGGAGAGATTACGTTCTAAACTGAGATGACCATAATCATCTGCCCAACTCTTTGTTTCCACATCCTCATATAATGAAGGTATCCTGAAAGTTTCAAGAAGCTGGCACAGAGAAATTACTGCAGTTAGGTAGTATAGTGAATAGATTGCTGGGCTTGGAAAGACCCAAGTTCAAATCCAGCCTCAGACATTTACAAGTTGTATAACCCCTGGGCTAACAAGTTACTTAGTTCTCTGTACTTCAGTTTCAACTTCAAAATGTGGATAATAATAGCATCTACTTCCCAGGGTTGTTGTGAAGATCAAATGAGATAACATTTGTAAAGCACATAGCACAGTGCCTGGAACATAGAGATATAAATATTAGCTACTATTATTAATAGCACAGTGCTTGGCATGTAGTAGGCATTTAATAAATATTTCCTTTTTCCCTTCCTTAAAGAAATTGAGACAGGTGGGAGATGTTTATATGGGTAGGAATTATCCTAGAGAATGAATTATTTTCTCTCTCTACTCCCCCCCACTCCTACCTCAGATTGTTCAATCACACTATTGGTTCCCTTTATATTGGGGGAATCTAAAGTTAAATTTCACTACTGGAACAAAATCACCTTCAATTTCTTTTTGGGATAAGTAATGCAGTTCCCAACTTTTTCCTAGAACTTTATTAATTCCCAATGTTCTAGCCACTAAATAACAATGCACCTAACATTTAAATAGTATATTAAAATCTAAAATGCAGATATACAAAATCTCTTTTCCCACTTACATGATAGTCCTTTTTCCCAGTCCAGAATCCTTTCCTAAAGGCCCATTGCCTCTAAGTTCCCTTCTTTTATATGTTCCTTCCATAATACTCTATTTCAGTAACCCCTTCTTCCACTCTACCCTTTATATTTAAAGAATACCTCAATAGACCCTTTAGGACTTCACACCTGCCTTGGCTTATTATACATCTAAAATATCTTTGGGCTTCTGTCACCAGTTCATTAAGATAATGTCAGCTGTTCTGGAAAGTTCTTTAAGGGGAAATGGGGAAAAGGGAAAGAAAGGGCATGGCAGAAGACAGGCACTTGCCTGCTCCTTTCAATAATGGATCCCTGCTCCTAGTTATTCACAAAGGCTATGTCTATCTATGCCTGTAAACCAATTATTCCCTGACCACTCAAAGCTGGCTTGCAGGGAGAAATACCAGGATTACCTCAGTCTTTTTCTAGTCATAATCCTTGAAACCAGAATTCTTTTCAGAGAATTCAGACCCCTGCTGCTTAATTTCACCCACTTAACCCTTAGAAACCATTTCTTCCTCCTAAGGACTTAAGTGGAGGAAACTGAGCACCTAGCTCTGCTCACACCTCACTTAGTGTCAGGTTGGGAAGATGAGCAGAGGAAAGGGAGGGCAAGGACAGGCAGAAGCCAGGAGTTCAGCTGTCCATAGGTCTACTGGCTTTGGCATCTCCTGGCTATGGCTCCAGGAGACTGAGACACAGCTGAAGAACCCCAGGTTCCAATCCTGTTTCCCTAGTTCGGTAATATGTAGAAAGGATTCATCCTTACCTCCAGTCTACCTTCTGGCACCCAATACTTAAAACCAGCTGAACTATACCATCTCACCTGATTCAGTGTAAATGTCAAAGAAATTGAGGGAAAAGGGGGGAATGGGTGTGGAGTTCTCTCCATTGTTCAGTTGGGGAGAATCTAATTAACCCTTACCTCCCCCTTCCTTCCAAAAGGAAGTAGGTATGATAACTTCTTCATATCTACTACTACAATTAAGATCTATTTAACTTTAACTGGGAACTTTCCCAAATAATACAGTCTTGGTAGGAAGCAACATCTGGGAGAAGTAGAAATTGAAGGCTGGGTTGACTAGTTCCTTAGAATAAAATGGGAGGCTGTGCACAATGGCACAAAATCCTCCCTATCAGGGAAGCCGAGGCTGGTGAACTTCTTGAGCTAGGGATTTCAAAGCTGCAGTGGATTCTTTCTGAACTAAATCTGGCATCAATATGATGAGCTCTGGGGAGCTGTCAGGGACAGGCCAGGCTGTCTAAAGAGGGGAGAATCAACCAGGTCAAAGCTCTTATGCAGATCAGGTGCTATGTTTCTATCTTAGAAGGGGACTGGAGACGGAATTTGAAATAGTCAAAGAATGAAGTGGAAATATATGTAAGCTCTTGGAGGGATGGGAAGAGTCAGAGCTACCAAGTGACTAAGATCCAGTTAAGGGGTATCATTGTCTCTCTTAGATAGAAGAGGATATACAATGGGATTCCCACACCCATAAGAGAGGGAAAGGAACCTTATCAGGGGATAGAGTTCTCAAACAACAAGGCCCCTCCTTACTAACTACCCTGATCTGCTGAGTCATGAAAACTAGTTCTAAAAACAGAGTGGGAAAGTATTCAAATACAAATGCAAAAAGGTAAGGAGCCCAGCAGAGAATGGTAATGGGAAAAAAAAACTGGCATAGAGAGATATAAGTAGATAGATTGTTGAGGTATTCTAGTCTTCAAAATGGGGGAAATTCGACTTAAATAAGAAATGTCAAAGAGTACAGCAATTCATATGACCTGCTTCCCAACAAACTCCCACCTCCCAAATCCAAAACATCTTCATCTCAAATCAAATTCTCACCATATTCACACTGGCTGAGGAGAAAGATCTAACAAAATATAGAGGCTGAGATTTTCAAAGAGGTTTAAGCAACTTGTGTGTATGAAAAGGGGTAGGGGTGGGGGTAGGGGAAGAACCTCCTCTCTCATCTAGATGATTTCTACTGGAGACCGATCTTGTCTAGGGCTTCCCCTATATGCCAGTTAACAGAGGAATGAGAGAAGACTAAATAACATCTTACAGACTACCTCTGACCTAATCTCAAAACCTTTTCTCCTAGAACCCAAAGAATTTATGATTGGGGGTTTAGAGAGAATACAAAAGGAAGGCAAGGGACCAGTCAGGATGAAGTAGGAATCTGGAAGTACATTTCAATGAAGAGGGAAACATAAAGGGAAAAGAGGCTGAAGACAAGCATATGCTACCAGACACAGAAGGGAATCGGGAATGGAGGAATTTTTGCCAGGGCAAATAGGAATACTGCTATGGGGTAAGTTCAAGAGAAAACAAGAATCTATTCTGAGGTGCTATTGTGAAGACTCTGTGTTATCACATGATCTAGAATTGAAAGGGAAGCCCACGGTTTAGGAAAGAAATGACAAAGAATCAACTAAGAAACTTCTTTTTGCTGAAGAAAGATTTAAGGAAGTTTTCTGGAAATAAGGATTCAGGTTGGTTTGGCTAAGTTTATACAGTTAAATACTTAGATTAGGGAGTGAGCTGAGACCCAGATTACCAGAGATGAAAACTATCTGATGAGAGAAAGGAGAGTACAACACACCATGGCAAACACCAAATCCTTTTTAGTCATAATGTGAAATATGCTTTGGGGAAAAAAGGGAGCAGGATGTCTCAAAGGTACAGTGGTCTACTGGGTAAAGGGGGAGAGGATCTCTCCCCATATGTGGTGATATAGGAGAAATATCATAAACATTTATTAAGTAACTATTTGCTAGGAACTGGATAAGGACAAAAATGACAATCTGCCCTCAAGGAACTTACATTCTAGTTCTTCCAGATGTAGGATAGGCTACAATATATGTTCAAACTCAGGCCTGGGAGGTAGAACAAAAACGTTGGCAGGGTATAAGTTACAAAGGTGTCCCGTCCCAGCCCCCCCATATTAGAGAATTAAAGAGAAGAAAACTATTGGGAAGCAGTGAGTCTTCAACTTCAGTTATTTTTACCTATGAAAGGATACACCAGAAACAGAACTAGGGGTGGGTAGAAAAGGGTGTGGACAAAGGGAGGGAACCTCTGCAGAAATGCCTTCAGAGGGGAGCTTAGGTACAGAAAAAGGGTCTTCCAAAGGGACTTCCTAAAAAAAGAGCTGTAGGAGAATGCCCAAATAGGGAAAGTTACTAGGGAATATTCTAGAGACAAATACCTTAGGGAAAAATAACAGGGGTATCCACTCCTAGGAAAGGGGTCCACTTGAGGTCCCCTTTGAGGAGAACACAAGTTCCATTTGGGGAATGACATCGGTAATGTAAGGGTGCATACATGTACTGGTCCTTACCCGGATCAAGCAATATTCTAGGTAGGTCTTGCGTGGAAAGTAGAGGTATGGAGGTAGAGGACTTGTATAATGAAGCCATCGACGAATGAGAAAGCAAAATGAATGGTGGAGCACAGACTTCCTAGAGGTCAGGGGGTGCTACAGCTGTTAGACCTCGGTTTCATCTTTTTCCTCCCTCAGTTGGGGAATACAAAGTGGGAGGGGCTCTGCCCGAGATAATGGACTGAAGTCTCTCCCAGAGATGGGGGTTGGGGGTGGGTGACACAAAGACAGAATTAAAGTCTTAGCAGCCCTAGGTGAATACAGAAGGGAAGGTCAGCGGTGTAACGAGCGAGAAGGGTGTTCCTGCGGTGAGGTCCTTCGGAGAGGAGAATGAGGAGGAGGAGAAGGAGGAGGAATGACTGAGGAAGCAGACGAGGGGCCGGGAGCAGTCACTGGGAGGGAGGAGGGGGGACGGGGACAGGAGGCAGGCCCGGGGAGCGTCTCCTAGAGGTGGCTCGGGGATGGCAAGGAGTCCCGACAGCCCCGCGCTTGCCCGGCCCGCAGGCACGGGCAGGTGTCCCCGGCCGGCGCGCCGCCTCACCTTGTAGAAGGCCCCGTTGGAGCCACGCACCTCGACGGGCAGCCCCGGCTCCATGTCCCTCCCGACAGCGAGGCCGCCCATGGAGGGGCCGCCGCCGCCTGCGGCTGCTGCTGCTGCTGCTGCTGCTCCTCCTCCGGCGGCGGCGGCAGCAGCGGCGGCCTGAGCTCGGGCCGGGCCGGGCCCCCTGCGCCGCCCCCCCGGGGGAGGAGGAGGAGCCGGCGGGGACGCCGCAGGGGGCGGGAGCCGGGCAGGCCCCACACTGGCCCCGCCACAGCCGACGAGCAGGGGGCCGGGGCCAGGCCGCTCCCCGTCCGCCGCCGCCTCGGTCTCCGCCACTGTGAGGGAAATGGCCGCCGCCGCCGTCTCCTCAGCCTCTGCCTCAATCCCGGGAATCCGCCGCCGCCACCGCCGCCACCGCCGCCACCGCCGCCTCCTCCTCCTCCTCCACCTCCTCCCCCCCGCCTTCCCTCCCCCTACGGCCGCCGGCGCTGCCGTATACTGCGCAGACGCGCTCGGCACCCTCCCGCCCCGCGCCCAGAGACCAGAGAAAAAGCACGGCGCAGGCGTCGAGGAGCGCGTGATCGTGACTAGTTAGCGCGCGCACCCGAGCTGGAGCCTTTAACCCTAACCCCAACCCCTAATACAACACGCACGCACGCACGCACGCATACACGCAGGACACCCTAAGCTACGCTTGCGCAGAAAGGACCACCCCTCCTCACCCTTTCCAAGGGCGTGTCGAAGGGCGAAGCGCCTGCTTATGTCACTTTCTCCCTCTTTCTCTCCTCCCCCAATATTTCTCTTTTGTCTGCCTTGTTGCGCAGACTCGTAGATCCGAGAGAAAGGGGCCGGGGAAAAGGTTAAGATAGTAGGTAGAGGTGTCCGCTTAATGCGCATGCGTTTGGCTAAAGTAGAAGCTGCTGCTGCTCCTTCATCATCACCGTTTTAAACATTTCTTAGCGTTTTTTTTGTAGTCAGTGGGGTGGTGATGTTTGTGGAAGGGAAGAAGACTCAATCCATTGTCCTTGAATAGCGTACATCAATCAATCAACCAACACGTATTTAGCCTCTATGTGCAGGCACTGTGCTAAGTGCTGGATATATGTCCAGCACATGCATGCCGTATTGCTTTATGTTCTTTAATATATTGAAGATATATAGCACACACACACATATATATAAAGCATGTGTTAAAATAATGTTTTAAAGCAACACACAATTTAAATTATATAATTAAATTGTTAGATAAGAGGCAGGATGGCATAAAAGAATAGAGACTCCCCAAAGGCAAAGAGATATGGATTCAAGTTCCGTTCCTGGCACATGCTAGCTGTATGGTCCGGGGGATGTCACTTAACTAGTCCTCGGCAAGTCTTAATTTCTCTGCTCTAGGTAATTCTCTGACTGTAAGTTGCAGGGAAGTTGCAGTTCCACCTTGGTAGAGGAACTTTCCTCCCCGGGAGTTCCCTACAACAATGAAATCACAGGTGCAGTCTTAGTCCCTTTCCGGTACCAAAAAAAGCAAATGCTAACTAGGGTGAGCCAGTCCGTGTTGGAGAGCTGGGGAAATTCAAAGGGAGAGAAGAAAAAACAGGATGTTCAGAGACAATACGGAGTCAGTAACGTGATTCGGTTGGAAAGGAATGAGTGAGAAGGCTGGGGCCAGGATTGGCAACAAATAAGCCACCCTAGGGAGCGTCTAAAAATAATGCAGGAGTGAGATTACATTCTTTCCTTCTTCAAATAGAGTCCTTGAGGGCAGGAACTTTTCAAAGTTTTCCAAAAAAAGCTTTTGTTTCCCCAGGGCTTAGCGAAGTGCCTGACACACTGTAGGCCCTTAATAAATATTTTAACTGAATTACACTTAGTAATCGCTCTTGTACCAGGCACTGTGGTAAGGAATGGGGATAGATTAACACTTTGTCCTACCCTCAAGTAACTTAATCTTTAGAGGAGTTTAGATCTGTGCACAGATATGTAAAATACAAAATAGGAAATAAATGCATAGGAATTTAAAGTGCTGTGAGATTTACAGGTATTTCCTCCAAAAGTGATTCCTCCTCCCAAATACCCCTCTTGTTCTGGGGCAATCTCAATTCTTCCAGACTCCAAATCTTTTGACTCAATACTTTTCATTCCTCCTTACGCTTCTTGTATCCAACAAAGACACCCTTTGCCTTCTCCCCATGTGGGCTAGAGCAGGAGGGGTGGCCGGGTCGGCAAAGTTCTTCTCCTTAAAAGGAAAAAAAAAACTGTCCTGGAGACTTAATTGGCTCTGGGACTAAGGCTCTGGACACTTGCAGTAGCTTCCTGGTTGCCTAAGTACAAAAGGGGCCAGATGTAGGAGTTTCAACCCCTCCCTCAGTGTTCTGACCTTGGACCAGCCTGACCAACTTGGTTTAGGAAAGTTATGCTCAGCTGAATCAACACTGCATCCTCCCTAAATATCCTTCTCCTGCTCTAGCAAAAGCTAACTGTTGGATGGACTACAAATGCCTCATTTCCTCCTAATCTCAAACCACTTGACCAGCCTAGTCAGCTCTGGCCTACCAGCTACATGTCTATTTGAGTGTATGAAGGTGCCACTCCACTCTGGAACTCCTTAATACCCCAGGTTCCAAATATATAGAGTGTTTTGTGTAATCATAAGTGAAAATAGGGTTCAAACTTCAATCCAGTGCCTTATCTACCAGGCAAGAGTCATTCATTTAATAGCAAACCATTTTAATAGGTAGTAATAGCAAAAGAAACTCATTCAGTTGAATCATTTTCCAACCCCCTTACACAAAGGAATATACCCACAGACTCTTGTACTGGTGAGAAAATTCCTCAGACAACTCATGATATTATTTAAGAAGGAATTCCATGCAGTTAGAGAACCCCTCAAGGTAACCACTACCTTTAATACTGCCATGGCTTGCTTCTCTGCCAAGGTGCTACTATCATCTATATCTTCTTCCCTCTGAGGGATGTTCTAGCGCTTTGATGAGACTACTCCAAGCCAAAGTGCCCAGGAGCTAATAAACATACTTCTAAGCTCTTTTGTTGCACATAGGGCCCACACCTGTTTGACACTCAGGCAACTGTCAATACCTTTTTTTCCACTTCACTCCATGCCTCTCCCACTCTACCTCCCTTCACCAAAGAAAGCCCCTCTATCCTCTGGTTAGTTTAGGGTAAGTGTATTCATTTCAGCTCCCTTCATTGAAATGGAAGTTAATGCTTGAGCCATACAGATTGTCTTGAAATTTCAATAAACCTAAGGCAGTTATTTAACAACATTTAGGGGGATGGGGAGGAGATGTGGAGATGTAGATTTTTGCCCTGTATCCCTGTTTATTAGCAATGATTCCTGTCCTCATCTGGGTGGCAACCAAGACCTATTTATTTTTTATTAAAAATTTTTCTTCCATTCTTTAATAACAATGGGTATTTTCTTTCACTTTGAGGGTAACCTGTGTCAGATTAAATTATTCTGATTTTTAAGACAATAATGTACAAATTCCATTTTCTCATTTTCCCTTGGTTGAAAGGAAGAAGGGATCAAGTTAGATTAAGGATTACATTTTTCAAATCTACCCTTCAGTCTGAATTTTCCTTTGGTACTAAGGATACAAAGAGAAAAGGCCAGTGTTCTTCAATGGATAAATAACTAAATCCATGGGATTGTTTGGAATCAGAACATTTTCATTTTGGGACCAATGGGAAAAGGATCATTAGATTCTGTAGCATAGAGGAAATCACTAAAGGCCAAAAAAGGCTTGAAGAAATAGAGAGAGAGAGAGAGAGAGAGAGAGAGAGAGAGAGAGAGAGAGAGAGACAATATAGTGTAGAAGTTCCATCCTATTCATCTGGAACTAACAAGTTTTCTTTTGACTCTAATTTCTAATTCCTTCATATATATTATTTCTGAATTTGTACATCTTATTTACCCTTATTTTTAAAAAAAATCTAGAGTGCTCTATTAGAGAAAGGGAGTGGTAATAAGAAAAGGAAAGTGGGAGGGCATGACAGACCAGGTTGTCCAATTAAAATGAGAGCAACAGAAAGTAAGTGATTAGACACTGACTCTGATAGATCTCTGAATTTAGAGCCCCAAGCTGGTTCAGAGAATGAGGACGATCTGGACGTACTGTTCCTCACTCAATGATCAGGGAAGGATTAGAAAGATGAAAATCCTGGGGCTAAGGTAACAAAGGTGGTGAGGGCCAGTTCTATGGAGAAGAGCTGATACTCCCGGAAGAAGTTTGGTTCTTGGTGTAAGGCCCAGCTATGGATCACTCACATATCCACCCTTTTCCATCACATTCTTTAAAAAAGATGTAGACAACATTAAACATCAATATGACCTACTAAGCATGCTTTTCAACTATGTACATTTAAATAAATAAATGTTAATCCTTGAAATATAACATTTTAATAACTCCTTCTAAGCCTCCATTAGGCTCCTGTAATTATTTACTTATCTTTTTATATGTTTGCATTAGTGTGTATCTTATTCTCTGGTTCTGCTTTTTTTCACTTTGAAGTATTTCATAAAGTTCTTTCCATATTTCTTAGTCTCCTTGTGCTTATCCATTTATTTGCCACTTCATAGGTTTATTTTTGACAACTTCCTCCTCATTCCTATCACCACTTGAAAACCATCATCACACAGACATCCAAAGTCCTCTCCCACTATGAGCTTTTAGTTACAAAGTGAATTTTAACTTGCATAAGGGAAAGCTTAAGGCCCTTCCAGGAAAGCCATCTTTCAAGTCCTAAAATTACTATAACAGATTAAAACCCTATTGTGTCATCTAAATCAACTAATCTGCAAACATTTATTAAGTATCAACTATGTTAAAGGCATTTTTGTTAGGTGTTGGCAATACAAAGACAAAAATGAAACATCTCTGCCCTGAAATAACTTACATTTTAATGGGGGAGGCAACATGTTCATATATTGTCAACATTTATGTATACAAAATGTATGTAAAATCGATACAAGGTAATGGGATAGGGAACTGGGAAGAACAGGAAAGGTTTTAGGTAGCAAAATCTGAGATGAGCTTTGAAGAAGTCTAGAAATTCTAAGACACAAAGGTGAGGAGGATATGGGATAGCCAGTGCCAAGGATCAGTAAAAGGAAGTAGTGTCAAGTCTTTGACTAGAAGCCTTCCCCAGCCCACCTTAATTCCACTAGATTTGTTATTGCTTGCTTTGCATATATGCATTTTGTCTCCCCCATTATTTTGTAAGCTGCTTGAAGTCAGGACTGTCTTTTGCCTTTTGGGGGGGGGATGTTTGAGGCAATTAGGGTTAAGTGACTTGCCCAGGGTTACACAGCTAGTAAGTGTCAAGTGTCTGAAGTTGGATTTGAGCTCTGGTACTTCAAGGCCAGAGCTCTATCCACTTCACCACCTAGCTGCCCTGCTTTTGCCTCTTTTTATCCTCAGCTGTTAGCTGACACAAAGTAGGCACTTTATATTTATTGGTTTATTAAGTTTTTAGAAAATCAAAGACAATTTAACTGTACCATAGAGAGATTTCTTTGTTTCCACTGTTAATCTCGCTAATCCTTCCTTCTGCAATTATTAAAATTTCCAACACTACATCAAAGAGGTAAGAGTGGACATTCTAGTTTTGTACCTATTTTTAGTGGGAATGTTCCTAGGTAGAGTAGATGCTTTTCGTTTTGAAGAAAAATTACCTTGTTTCTTTTAGTGCTTTTCTTGTTAATTAATGTGGATTTTATCAAAGGCCTTTTATTTATCTAATGATAAATGAAAAGTGGTGTGGGCTAGGCATACAAATGTACAAATGGTGCTGATGCCAGAGCTATACCCAAATTTACTTTCTATAATCTACAGAGAAAGTCTGTCAATCAACTAACTGTCTGGAAGCATTGTGTATATTATTGGCCACCAGGGGGTGCTCCAACTGCACATGAGAAAACTAGTAAGCTCATCAATAACACCATGTTCTATGTACATCAACAAATATGACCTGGAGTATACCTCAAAATTACCAATATGGGAAATTTTCTTATCTCTTCTCTGAGCCCCCATTCCTTCTTTTGGGTGCTCCTCTTTTGTGACTTCCTGATTTCATTCAAAGGACTTATAAATTAGTTAACTATGTGATTTATTGAAATTGAATAATGTATAACCATAAAACTGTAGCATGACAAATGTAATGGAAAACTACCTAGTGAGTGCCCAGTTATTGGGAAAATGCACAGCACTGCCTGATGAAATGACCCATGTAGATGCTTGGTGAACTTCTGGAAATTCATGATGACATGCAATGGAGTGGCCAGGCTTTGTGCTTCAGAGAATATTCAAGTATTCTGTGACTGGTTTCATCCACTTGCTGCATGGTTAAGAGGAGCTTTTTGATTGTCCACAGAGTTGAAGAAGAGTAGCCAAAGGAAGGCAGTAAATGGTCAAATAGATGTCTGTATTTTCCCCCCTTGGTGCTGTAAGCCACTGGGTAGGGAAAGCTCCCACAGCCTATTGTCCCCATCTCAGTGACAGGAATCCATGAGCACATAGTGAAGTTATTTTTCTCTCTGTTTCTTTTTTTCCTGATCTTAGGTGAAGGAATATTGAAAACGGAATATACTAGGCTCTAACCTCATGAGTTTCACAAAATTAGAAGAGTATCTGGGATCCCAGAACCACAATCCATACCAGAGTTTGTCATCAACCAAACCCAGATGAGGAGCAGAGCCCCAGGGACCTTGTGGACCAGTCCAGCTGGAGATAAAATCATAACTGATACACTGTATTCTACAAATCCCTCTTGATGCTGAATTGGAGAGTGAGCTTGGTGGGGTAAGTGCTTTGTAGCAACTTTTTAAAGTATGAGCCCACTCTCCCAGGGACTGCATTGGTTTTTATAGGGGAGAGTATAACCTGGTGTGATGTTTTTATGCTTCTGTTCTTGCTGTATTTAGTAAATGTGCCTTTGTAAACATTAATTACATTATTGTTGGGATGCTAATCAAGGTCAAGGTACAGGAAAGATATAACTGGCAATTGATACTGGGGTGAACACACTGTAATGGATATTCAAGCCAATGGCATGAGAAAGATATTCTAATCCCTCAAGGATACCCCCAGAACACCGAAGGGGAGATGTAGCTTGCCGGTCTTTGAGGATCTGATTTACCACTGTGAGGAGAAATTGGGATTAAGACCTTGACATACACATATACATACACACACACACACACACACACACACACACACACACACACACAGTGAGAGGCTACCCAAACAAAACCATAATGAAACTTTCAAAAAGCAAGCTGTAATGAAATTGTTTTTTGTAATTGACCCCTCTCCTATCACCCCTATAGGAATAAAAAGAGAAGAGGTTACATATTTGGAAATTATAAGAGATTGGCTCAAGAAGCTTTCATAATAACAGCTAACATTTATAGTATTTTTTTTCTTTCTTTTTAGGCAATTGGGGTTAAGTGACTTGCCCAGGGTCACACAACTAGTAAGTGTCAAGTGTTTGGTCTGAGGCCGGATTTGAACTCAGGTCCTCCTGACTTCAGAGCCAGTGCTCTATGCACTGTGCCACCTAGCTGCCCCTCTAACATTTATAGTATTTACTATGTGCCAGGGAATATGCTAAGCACTTGACAAATATTATCACATTTGATCTTCACAGCAACTTTGGGAGATGGTACTATTATGATCCCATTTTGCAGTTGAGGAAACTGAGGTGAATGGAGGTTAAGCGATTTGCCCAGGGTCACACAGGAAGTAAGGGTCTGAAGCCAAATTTGAACTCGAGTCTTCCTGACTCCAGACCCAGTGCTCTAGCCATTGCACCATCTAGCTGCCTCATGACTTGAGGGTTCTCATTGGCCCTCAGGAAAAGGGGGTTTGGGGAAGTTCAGGGGTTCACCACCTCCTGTTTAGGCTCATTGCAGCTGGGGAGGAGACAGGGATCATAAAAGCTGCCAGTCTGATCCCATCTGCTCTAGGGCTCCAGGTGACCACTACTACAGTTCTCTCAGATCACAGTAATTCTGTATGGCTGATCCCGGCTACATGGAAAACTAACCAGAGAACTTGGGATCAGGGCATACACAGAATTACTCAAACAATGCAGGTCCATTGAGTTCACTTATTCAGTCGCCTCCCACCTTGGCATACCCCCCAGACAATTGCATGATGGGAAGCATCAGTAAAAAAAAAAGTGTTATTTGCCTTCCCCATGGTCAATATGAGTAACTTATAACAAGTACTCCAGCTTCCTTCATCTCCATCACCAGAAAAGAAATATCTTTCATATATACACCAGGGACCCAAGGCCCTACCTGTGTAGAGGTTGCTGAAAAGGCCCAAATGCCTACCCACTCTCAAGAGTCTGTAATACCTTTTCCCTCCGTGGTCTGCCCCCATATCCTCCCCTCAGTAATCCAAATGGGGCAGGAGCCTCAGAGGATACCTTAGGCTTGGTTGGAGTTGAAGAGCCCCCTACTGCCCTGGTGCTGAATTTCCTTGTACAGTTTTACTAGTACCCTCATAGAATGGCCATCAGTTGTTTTCCTATCAACCCCATGTTTCAGGGGAACACCTAAAAAGCTCCCTCCCAGATAGGAGGTCATTACCCTTTATCTATTTAGCAGGGTGCTATACTCTGTAACTCCTCTCCCCATTCCCAGTGACACATTAACAGCAGAATTTGCCCAAGTCACAGCTGTCACAACTCCTTTTTCAAATTTCCCCAGTTGATCAGCCCAGGCCTATATAGTTGTGGCAAGGGAGATACATAGCTAAAATCTGAAGCCATTCTGTTAAGAGTTCCATCTAGAAAGCAGGATTTAGTAGCAACTAAGGCAAGCTATACATGGAGTTTGGCAGGCAATGGAGGGACCACATAGATCCAATCTCTCAACTATATTTCCTTCTCCTCTCTGACAGATCCCTATCATGGATCCAGCTCAATGGGAATTCGTAGTTATGACCAGGGGAGAATAAGTCCTCACCTCAGCTACATAAAAAGAGACAAAGGACAGTCCTTGTCTGGAGTCTTTAATTGATTTTGCTGACTCTGTAACATTAAATCTTCAGAGAGTTCCCCAAGCCTGTGGAATTCAACTGTGGAAAGCATTTCAGAATTGGCCTCATTATACCACACCATCAGGAGCCATTGCTCCAGTGATTCATTAACTTCCCAGGCAACCACTCCAGTTACTTAGCCACAAAAGCCCACTCACCCCCTGCTTCCACAGTGGAGGAAATCATTCACCTTCCAGGAGTACTGAAAGATAAGTCCTGGCCTTTTTTTTTAAACCATATGTAGGAGTTCCCGAGTTTCTCTCTCACTTCTGTTCTCATTCAGCAGGATTAATAAAACCTCTATGATACAGACTGTACCAGGGTTTACTGTTTGTGGCTGATCAGTTTTCACCATGTCATTCACCTTCACTCGTGCTGACATCAGCTCAGTTTTCTACCCTTTGATCTTTATCACATGGTACTAAGAAACCAAGAGCTCTGTCTCTAGTTGCTGGAGGTGCTGGGCTAGTTCACTTTAAATCTTATTATGCTGTTTATCCAACTTCTAAAAGACAGTCAACAACAACCAGGAAATGCTGGATTTGGCACACATCTTTTACATTCTCCAGAAGCTTCCTCCAGTGCTCACTGAGCTCATCACTCCATGGGTGGGGAGGGACCTGATCCTTGTTCCGTTAGGAACATTCTCCATATACCATTCTTGCCACCAGGTGCTTCTATGCCAAATTTGGCTATCTGATCACCCCATCCTCCATATTTATAGAGCCCTTTCCCCAACTCAACCATGAAGTGAACCATAAGGCAAGTAAAGAAGGATTATTTAGCTGTAGCATAGAAAGGACTTTTTAGCACTTGGCACATGGAAACTCATCTGGTGCATGGGGAGGTGTAGCAATTTTTACAGTCTTGGGACATCCACCATATATGAAAGGCATTAATTCCATGTGGATGAGCCTTTTTATACCTTTAGGTGACGCAGAAGCCAAATCAATAAGACCAGAGATAACAAGAAGCTGTGTCAGGGGGAGTGAAGCTTGAGTCTTACCCTCCTGGCCAATGAAGTCCTAGGGGCAGCTTTGTTACCTTTCAGGGAAAAGCTAACTTACCCATGTTGCAAGAGGAGGGAGAACCCTGGTAGACAGGGGTTTTATTACAAACCTCAAAGGGAAAATTCCCAGGAACTTCATAGTCAAAATCCAGAATTCTCATATCGAAGAAAAAATACTGCAAGAATTTCAGAAAGAAGCAGTACAAGTACCAAGGTACTATAGAATTTCGCAGGACCTGGAAATTTAGTGCTTGTTTTTAAATTATAATATTTTCCATGAACAAAAATCTCTTTTTTCTCTAATCTCCCATTACCCATTGAAAAAGGGGAAAAAACAACCCTTGTAACAAATATGCATAATCAAGCAAAACAATTTCTCACATTGGCCATTTCCAAAAAGTTTGTTTGATTTTGCCCCCTAAATCTATCACTTCCTTGTCAGAAGGTGGACAACATGCTTCATCATCAGTCCTCTGGCATTGTGGTTGGAGGTGCATTTGTAATGGAGATTGGAGTATGCCCAGATTATCTAATAGGAAGGCACCCTGGTTGGATGGCTGCATATTCAGCCTGGAATCCTGGCTTGTAAGGTCGCCATGGCTGGAACTCCTGGGTCTGGTGGGGATTGCCACCAGCACCCGAAACAAAGGACAAATAACACAGAACAGAAACTGAAATCCCAGGCGCATTTCTTGGAGTCCTTCCTCCGCTACCTGTTTCAGATCATGGCACAACCATACTGTGAGTGAATTGTGACCTTTATGTTCTGTATATAGTAAGTAGGAAAGAGAATGCACAAAAAAGATGGTCTCAGTCTGGCAATTTAAAAAACACAGACTGGGGGCAGCTAGGTGGCACAGTGGCTAGAGAGCCAGCCCTGGATTCAGGAGGACCTGAGTTCAAATTCAGCCTCAGGCACATAACACTTACTAGCTGTGTGATCCTGGGCAAGTCACTTAACCCCATTGCCTAGCTTAAATTAAAAAAACAAAAAAAAACACAGACTGTTCTGACTATGTAGCCAGTTGAAGGATGATCCAAACCTACTTAATAAGAGAAAGTACAAAAGGCAGGGAACTTCTGTGTTCGGTGACTTGGAAGTGCTCCAACCCCCATTACACACTGATCAGACTTTTAGTCTTTCAAACTTGTTTATCTTTACAATGTTGTTGTGTAAATTATTCTCCTGCTCCTATTTACTTCACTCTGTATCATTTCCTATCTGCACAAATTTTTCTGAAACTGTTCTTTTCATCAATATTATTCACCAATATTAATCCATTACATTTACATACTCTAATTTGTCCAGTCATTTCCCAAATGATGGGCATCCCCTTAATTTCCAGGTCTTTGCCACCACAAAAAGAGCTGTATATTTGGGCACATATGCGTCCTCTTACTCATTTTTAATGTCTTTGGGTTATAGGCCTACTAGTGGTATAGTGGGTCAAAAGGTTTGGTAATTTAGGAGGCATAATTACAAAGCTTTCCAGAATTTCTAGAACAATTCAGGATTTCAGCATCCATGCATTAATGTGCCTATTTTTTTTTTATCAACTCAGCCACCATTTGTCATTTTCCTATTTTGTCATGGTTTCCAGTATAATGGGAGAGAGGTGGAAATTGTTGTTTTAATTTACATTTCTCTAATTCTTAGATCTGGAGCATTTTTTCATATGGTTGTTGATGAATGTTGATTTCTTCCTTTAAAGACCCTCTGTTCATCTCTTTTGACCATTTATCA